CCAAAATGTGGTTTTTCCTTTATAACTCAAAATGCCTTGATTTTAAGCCCCATACATGTATTGAAGTTGAATATAAAGTTGGGTATTGCGGACATTTTGGTGCCTAGTATCTGTATCCATTACGGTTCTTGAGATACAGCATATAGATACTTGTACAGAATTTGGAGAGTGAGAAATTTGTAACACCGATTGTTGTTACGTGCATATGGTTATATGAAAATATCATTTCCATTATCTGTTATTTTCATTAGGGTTATAACATGAAATTCGAAAACCAAGATGGTGTCCAAGATGGCTGCCATTGCCTTGAAGTAATCCCATCTTAGTGACTATGAAACTATATAATATAAATAATACGAACTAATACAATAATACAATACAATATAATACTAATACAATAATACAAACTATATAATGTTTGGCTCATTTGTGAGACACTATCACGCCTTATGGGTGCTACATTCTACGGCAAAATAGCCAATTCAATAGATTTCCTTATGACGACCAGTCTACTTGTGGTTTTGCTTGTAGTGTCTACTCTGTTTCAGGTGCAGGTGGGTGTGGTTAGGCAGGGTCATCCTTGACTAAGAACATCTGGACCTGGTGTGTCTCAATCTATAAAAGCAAGCTGAAGATATTAATCTTTGCTGGAGTTAGTTTGACAGGCTGCTCCCCCAATACGCTCCTGTTTGGCATTTTCTTTCACAGCCAACATTGCATCATCACCCTCACTCATGCATGCATGCATCACACCACTGATCTACCGATGTCCACACTACATAACCTCATTTTTTGTAAATAAATATTTAACCTAGACATTTGCTCTAAATCTCCTCTTAGTTTTTGTCTCTGGCCTTGAGCTGGCTGTGACACCTTGCCGCCTGAAATTTCCCAACGCTACATCATGTTCAGTTTCTATTTAAATCACACATTACCAGCCAGCTCACTTCACAATCTTCACTTTTAATATTTGATTTCATAAATACGACACACGCTGTGAGAACATCAAAACATCATCTGCATAAAGAGCTGATTTATGTTCACAGTTACAGTTTCTGCTTCCTGACTGCATGGTGAGACACAAAACCACGATCACCAGTGGTGATCTCACACACACACACACACACACACACACACACACACACACACACACACACACACACACACACACACACACACACACACACACACACACACACACACACACACACACAGCAGAGTGATCTATAATTCAGAGCATTAATATTTAAAACACTTGTCCAAAGTTATTGATGTCTTTGGCTGACTGCACCACACTGCATTAACTCTCTGTGTGTGTGTGTGTGTGTGTGTTTCAGTATTTAGTTTCAGTCTGTTAGTTAGCAGGTTGTTCACATATAAACAGCAGCTTGTTACTTGTGAAACCTTTACTAAATCATTAACCAAAGCAGTAAGGTCTGACAAAAACAGATGTGACTATAATTACGGTTAGATAGCGCTTCAATAAAATAGTGAGATCTGATCTGGCACAGTGGCCAACGGTATCGAAATACAATCACAAGTGGAAATGAGGGTAAATACCTAATTAACTCAGCTCTCAAGATTTGTCTGGTCTTGACTTTAGGCTCATTACAAGTCAGTAGTGATGTGAGTCTATAATAATGTTCCACACTGACACCAGCTGAGGTTACTTTCACTGTCAGTAGGTTTGTTTGGCTCTCTGGTGATTTCTAAAAACAGGAAGACTTTATTTTCATAATTTTATGAGACAGAAATTTACTTTATTCTTTATTTTTCATGTGGCCCTTGTTCTCTGTTATATGTACGAATCATTGGCTTTAACATTTCTTTCATAATGTTGGTCTGACAAAATCATAACGAATAGAAGTGACCGACAGATACCATTTTTAAGCAGTCAGTGCAAATACTGTTTTGGTGAGAGCAAGTGTGCCAACAGCTCAAATGTGATGCAGATGTCACACTGTTTTTGTTCTGTTTTGCATCGAAGAAAATACGAAAATGCCAAAAAATTAATAAATGAAAAACAAAGTTCCTGAACATGATTAAATATTTTATCAAATATTTGTCAATGGAGTGATATCTGTTCATTAAAATTGCCACAAGGGACTAATCTGCAATTTAATTAACTTTATTCAAATTAAAGCACAAGCCAGTAAATGTTGAAGATTTGATATGCCGTCAATGGCTTATGAGAAAAATGCGTTTTTAATTGGAAAAAAAGTAACAGTGACATCAGCCATATGAGGGCCAACGCCGATATGATGTAGATTATGTCAAAATGCCAGTAATTATCCTGATTAATCAGTCTATCTCTTATTGATATCTCAGAACTGAGCTATAAACTATAATTATTCAGATAAAACATCACCACCTCATTCCCCAAAACAGATGAGGTCCTACATCTATTGTGGCTGATGCCATCTTTATTGCGTAAAGATCTTCTGGTCCCTGACAACCACCGTTGCCTTAGTGACGGGACAGGTTGGTGAGGAAGCAATTATTCTGACATCCGACCACCAGATGTTGCTAAATATTCTCATTTTATACACCTGAACTTTCATATATTTAAAGTGATATTAGTTTAAAGTGGTAAGACTCTGACTCTGCAGACATGAAGGTTTGAGGACAGATGGACTGAACAGGATGGAGAACAGAGAGACACTGCAGGAGGAAAAATAAATGAAAACTGAAGTGTGAAAAAGAAAAGAGGGTGAAGAGAGAAAGCCTGAGAAATTGCAGAAAGAGATGGAGTTAAGGAAAAAAGAGAGAGCAAAGGAGGAGGATCAATCCTGACACAGTTTGAATACAGTTTATTCCTGTCTGTCTGTCTGTCTGTCTGTCTGTCTGCTGAGCCGATGAGACGTGAAATTAAATTATACTCCATGTAAATTACAAAATCAACGAAGCTAAGAAAGATGGAGAAAGAAGGAGAAAGAAAAGAGAAAGCGAAGATCTGGAAGAGGAGGAGCTCTTTGTCTCCTTATGTTTAATCTGAGGTTTATCGAGGCTTGATGATCTAAGAGAGCTGCAGAGCTGCTCTACCTTAGAGAAGTATCAAAGGGGAACAGGGAAGAATGAAATGAGAATAAGAGAAGAATCAGAGGAGGAACAAAGGAGAAAAAAGGAGAGGATGAAAAGTGGATCAGATGTGTATCAGAGAAGGAGAAAAGGAGGATATGAAAGGATCAGAGGAGAGTCAGAAAAGGATCAGAGGAGGATAAGAAAAGGATCAGAGGAGAGTCAGAAAAGGATCAGAGGAGGATTGGAAGAGGAAAGAAAGGGATTAGAGGGGGAATAGAGAAGGATAAGAGGAGAATCATAGAATGATCAGTGGTGAATAAAAGAAGAGTCAAGGAAGAATTTAAGGTGGCTCAAAGGAAAATAGAGGAGGATCAGAGAAAAACAAGAGTAGGATCAAAAAAGGATTAGAGGAGGATCAGAAGAGAGTCAGAGGAGAATATTCAATCTTAAAACCTCACTTTTACAGACTTGCTTTTATGGAATGCCATTTTTTATCTTTTCTCTTTTATCTCTATCTCATTTTGGCTTCACTATTTAACTTTTGTTACACTTTAAATCTTTTCTTAAATAACCTTTTAGGATTTTTTATAGTTTCGTCTCTTGCTCATTTCTGTTATTCTATTTTATCATTACTATGAAAATCATTATTTCTATGTTATCATAATTAAAATCATCTTTTTATATTTGCTATCCTCTTTTTTGCTTTCAGCTTTTTTATTGCATTGTTTCCTACTGATTTTATCTTTTTAGCTTTTATCTTACTCCTCATGCTCTTGTTTTATGTAAGTATTATTATTATTATTATTATAGGTGGAGGATCAGAGGAGGATTTTTGGAAGTTGTCCCTACACTGTACATCTGTAACCTGGAAAATCCTACACAGAAAGTTTTGTGGGTTTTGTGTAAATTTGACTCCCTGAAAAGTTCCTCCCTGTTATTGGCCGGATTAAAAGGCTATTACACTAATAAATCACTGTAATGACAGCATGGGGTCAGCCTGCTAGCCAAATCTACTCTGAATAAACAGAGTCAGTCCCTATCTCAGTGTTTACAGCCTGCAGACAGTTAGCTGCATCAGCAGCTCTCTGTGTGCAGGGAGCTCACCACAGTGTGTCTGATGGAGGGTTTCACAAGCTGATCCAGAGTCAGCTGACATCTCCTGATAACACCTCTGAGACAGAACAGATGAACTTTTAAAGGCAAAGGGGGAAAAAAATGTTTCAACATAACCGATATCTGTAAGGAGGGATAACGCTGATAAAGTTTGAAGAATAAAAACCAAACTCTCACCCTGAAAACACACACAGACCAATGAGGCCACAGATATAGTCTGTCTACTGAGCCTCTGTCTGCTGCTGAATCATGGTGATCAGACCATAAAACTAATAACCAGAAACTTCCCCCTCTAGATGAAGCATGAATCATGAGGATGGAGCTGTGTTCCTTTTTAAAGTCTGACATGTTTGTTTGTTTCGCTGTTTTTCAAAGTGTGAGCAGATGCAGCCTTTTGATTTTACCTTCCTGCAGGAAGTCAAGCTCATTCCCCAAAACACTCCACCTTGTTCAGTTCCGCCTAAGCTTTGAGCGGAGTACCCCATGGTTCAAATCTTGGAACATCATAATTTTCTGTTAGTTTGCCACCTGCTACAATTGAAGCATACGAGGCGGCCCTCATACCAGTGCCATAAGATGTAAGAGTAGCCCTCCAGAATAAACGACAGAGCCCCCATATACTAAACAGTCTTTTTAAGAAATTCAAAAAGCTGCTTTCCACAGTCTGTCGTACAAGAGTTTTCAGTGTCAGTGGGCGTGTAGTGTCACGGTGAGTCCACACACAACTTTAAAATGAATCAAACTTGATATCTGTGAGTTAAAGTGTAAATTTTACTGCTCTGAAAACATGAAAGATAAAAACATGTTTATTGTAAATGAGAACATCTAACAAGATCATCACTGCAAGATACAAATATTTTATAAAATGTGGATCATAACTCAGACTCCTAGAAAACTTTCATGCTGACGTTCACACAACTCTTCTCTCCACTATGACTGACTGTATCATATACAGGACCGACTGCATGTTTTATAAAGAGATATCAGCTGTTTATCAGTTTACTCGGTGTCTTTAAACAGAGGCTGAATTTAATGCTCCCTCCTCTATACTGCTGCTGCTGCTGCTGGGATAAACTGGTCAATATCCCAAAGAGTGCTTCTCTTCACACAGTTTAACATGTTTTATTTATGCCTGCTCTTGATGCTGAAACGGGAAAACACAAAAATTAGAAGGAATATTGAAGATAAGTCCACATAGATTGATGCATATATCATTTCTTCCTGACGTAATAAACCGCAGTCAGGACTGTCTCCATGCACAGTCTCAAGAGTGGATCAGATTTCTGCATTTCTCTGCAGCAGGCTGCAGGACTGTGGCTGTATTAAACTACACACATTATCAGTGACTGCTGGTGTCTGGTTACCTAAAAGTGGAGGAGTATCTATATTATGATATAATATTGAATATGAGATAGATCTGTGAGGGAGAAAATTAAAGGTTTGAACATTATAACATCTGTTTTTTTCTTTGAAGTGCCCTGACACAGATAATTTACTCTGGGCATGTATGCGAGGGTTATACTAAAGTGTTTAAATCTGCGAATTTATAAATGCAGCTAAAGCTCTGATATACCCTATAGCCTCACAGTCTTGCTCTAATAATGAGAGTTCATCCTCTGAAGAGCATCTGCCATCTGCTTCCCACTGAGCGAAACAGGATGGACTTGGTCAGAATATTAATTTCTGTTGTTCTCCAAAATCTATTCAGAAAAAATCTCGTGGAGTGAGACACAGACACAGCAGGGTTCGTCCTCTGAGGATCAGTCTTTCATAAAAAGATTACAGTCTGAACCTGTTAAAAAAAACAATATAAATCTTTAACAAAAAAACAGGTCGGATCAGATTATCAAGGACAGTAGTTTTAAGTGCAGAAATGTCAGAGGAGAGGACATTTCCAGAAGGATCTGTGACGTCTCTGAGTGGACTGTGTCTCTCCTGAGCTCTCTCTGATTAAAATAAAACAAAAAGCACTTTGTTAAATACCTCAAGGTGAGCTCGGCCGTGGTTTATACCTGAGAGTTATAAGACGTTGTAGCTGCTTGCTGTGTCCGGTAGACGAGGTAAACGCTTTCATGGCACTCTTGGCCATGTTATCTCAAACTTTTGATCACTTGCTGCTGTCTTCCCTGATCCTCTTCTCACGGCTGTGTTCACACACTTCATCAGACCAAACTAAGGAAAGTAAAATGTCTTGACTTACTCTAAGTTTCAGAAAGTCACTGATTAATGGCAAAAATGGGGAAACAAACCCTCAAAATCGGCATTTTTAGTTTTCCATGAGCAGCCGTCACCTCCAGATCATCCTCTTAGAGATCACTGAACCTTTGAATCAGTCGGAGCAGAGAGTTTTTCACAGAGAGTTTGGTCTCTTATTCATATCAGTGAAAACACTAACAAGAGATAAAGGTTTAACTCAGCAGCAACAGCAGCTCTCAGTGCAGTTAGGCCGGTGTAAGACTTTATCATCCAAAGTTTGTGCGTACAGACAGAAAATAAACTCTGAAATGAAAGACAACTTCAAGTGTTGGTGGTTATAGGTAGTTAATAGGTGAATAAATAGGCTGCTCCCATAACTGTGCCTGCTTTGTCCTGGTTTTAGGTGATTAAATCATAGGTATGGGGTAGACGTTGTGATTGACAGGGTCAGAAACAGCTGATGACTTTTTTCATTGGCCGGCTCAGGCAGTTTAAATACTGACTTCAGAGGTCATGCTGCCTGTGAGATCATGTCAGAAAACTGAGGTTTTTATCGGGGGTGCTGTCATCACATTTAAGACTGCTACAGGATCTGTGTCTCATAACCACTTGTGCACATGTCTTTGTTGAAAGTAGGGATGGGCCAGTCAACAGTTTACGGGTATATCATGATAAGAAAAAGCCAGAGTCTCAAAAACCACTATTATGTCCTTTCAGACCATTTCTAAATTATGAGCTAGGCTCAGGACTGGAAACAGAGTCCACCTTGTCTCTGTGCTTTCACCTCACTGGTTTAATTCACATCAGAGAAGGACTGCTGGTTTTTCATCTGATCCAAACACTCCAGATGATCACATCTGAAGGATCGAAACAATCTGGTTTTGGGAAGAATCACCTTGTTTTAGACCAGCTTTTGTAACAGAGCCAGGTGTGGGAGCAGCCTGAATCCTCCATGAGGACAGTCAGCTGATTTCATCTTTGAAAACAAATTAAAAAAACAAACAAACAAACAAACAAACAAACAGACTGCAGACACTGTAAATCTGAGACACCTCAGGAAACAGGACTTTCTACTAAAACCTTAGAGAAAAAACACGTGTCAGCATGCAGCCTGATCTTTACTCTCAAGAGAGGAGTTCAGTCCTTGTTCAGTTTTCCTCTCCTTTAAGACTCTCCTGACCATTCGCACCATCAGCTGATCATTTATTGATCATTTACAGATCATTTTCATCCCAGATCCCTGATGGAGTCTGATTTTAAGCTTTAGAGAGGCCGCTGTGGTTAAACTTTAAACAGAGACAGCGTTTCATCTCCTTCACACACTTGTAATCCTGACAGGTGCGTTAAGTTTGTTGAATCTGTCAGCTGATGAAGGACAAAGTGACATAGAGACTTTTGATTGAACCCCTAACCCTTGGCCTTCTCACACGTTATGCCTCTACAGAAAGGGTTAAGGGGTCCCAATTCCTGTTGGGATGGAAGGACACCATCAGCCCTTCAGGATTAATAGAGAGATGCTTTTCAAGCAATAAATGAAATGGAAAAACGTAATGTATTTATCTCAGCTGGATGTTGTTTCAGTTTATCATGGTCCTTTCCTTGAGATTGGGTATCAAATAACTCTAGTATGCTTAAGTTTCACTCAACGTGATCAAAGAAATCTGTTTACCGTGTTAAATCCAACAGACTCTAGACTTGTAAACATGTTGGTCTGACTGAAATCAGACCAAACAAACTTCCTAGTCGGCCTTACATACCTGGATAATGTGATGGGGATTGCTTTCTGTTGGTATATTTACCTCAATCAGACTGAACCTGGTCTAAGTTTTGCTCAACAGTCTGCACACCAAGCTTTGAGTTAAACAGCAGAAATCTGCAATCAGAGGCCGGGCAGAAACAAAACCTGACGGAAAAAGAAGAGACATAAAAAAGACAAAACATGTTGTCTTGGTCTCATGTTTAAGTGTTTGGTGATGCTTTGGTACTTTACGGATCAGGTAAGTTGTCTCTTTTATGGGGGGACAGTTTCACCACAATCCTGTTGACTCTGTTCAGAGGAGCAAAGAGAAACCCGTGAGGAGGGGGAGAGGTACATATGAGTAAAGGGGTGGAGATGTTTATCAAGCTGGTGGGTCAGGAGTTAAGATGATCAGATTAAATGTTGTTGTTTTTTTTTTTTTCAAATAGGCGTCTAAGTTTTTCTGCTGTGATTGAGGCATTTAAACTGCGTTCACACCTGTTTCCCGATTAAGTTTGTGAATCTTTCAGTGTGAACTCACCTCTAATTGTTCAGGAGCACTTTGATCAAAATAGATCTGAGGTTTGCTATGACTAAAAAACACAGACATGTCCCTTTAGCTGATGATCTGTCCATTAGCAATGCTCACGCCATTACACGACTTTCTCCTCTCGCCAAGTGTCTCCATGGAGGACTGTCGGGTCCGATGGGGGAACAGACGGTTCTTCATGTTGGACAGCTGTCCAAGGCTGTCTCTGCGTGTCGTCCCCTGGTGACCCTCTTCTTCCCCCTCCTCCTCCTCAGTGTCCGCCATGTTGCTGTTGACCTCTGAGTCCAGGTCAGTGCCGTGTAGAGGAGGACAGTCCGCCGAGTATTCAATCTCTTCCACGCAGGGAGGCTCATCATCCTCGAAACAGCTTCAGGATAGACAAAGAGGATTTATGTTCAGAGAGATAATCTACACAATGTGAAGACTCAAGGCACTTTAACAGCCTGTGTGATCGACAGTTTAATATTTTATTCATGCTTTATTCATTCAGAACTAAAGCTGCTTCCTACAGTTTCAATTTTAAATCCAATAACTGAGCTTTCCATTAGCATCTCAGTGACTGGTGATGATGTTCAACTCCTTTCACACACAATCTAAAACTTTTCTAGGAATGTTCAGGAGCTCTGTGTCAGAAATCTGCCCAGGGTTCACTGTTCAATCCACTCCATTAATAAATCCTTAGTTGAAAGCATCAAGGCATGATCCTTTCAACTAATGATTTGGGCGATTTTACCAGAGATGGCCAGCATTATCAAAAACAAAAACTCATTTCTGTCAAAAAATGACTTAGGCCATTATTTTAATAGGGTGACAATAATGTAAGTACTGCTATTTTTCATTTTTCTTTATTTATGTTAATGTGTTTATTGTGTTAGCACCAAAACACAGAGATGATTCGTCCTCTGTATTGAATCTGACTCTGGTAAATTTATCTCACTGTAACCTTTAATATTCACACAATTTACAGTTTATACTGTTCATAATCACAGCTTCGTATTCATGACCACACTGTTTCTCTATAGTACTGACTGATTACACACCATCGCCACCTGCTGGTCCGACGCTCTGACAGTCTGTGTATGTCTGTGTGTGTCTGTGTATGTGTGTGAGAGAGAGAGAGATAGAGAAGGAGTGTGTGTGTCTGTCCTCAAACTCTGATCTTAAGTACACACACACTGACTGACAGCTGACACACAGCGACACACACAAGAACAGAGTACCCCGAGTACACATCCTCATGGGATGTTCTGGGTGTGTCTGTATGTTTGTGTGTGTGTGAGAGAGAGTGACAGTGTCTCGAGACACACTGGCAGTCTGCAGGGACAGAGAGGACGTGACCTACACACTGATTTCATTTGACAGAGAGAGAAAGAGAGAGAGAGAGAGAGACAGACAGAGAGAGAAAAGACAGAGTGAATGTCTACTATACATGTATGTGTGTGTGTGTGTATGTGGGTGTGTTGATCACACCTGACTGGTTAAACTTGACGTAATGGACAGCTCGGCTGTGTTCGGCATTCTGACAGTGTTGGGCTTCAAGGACTTGTCTGATGTTTTGGACAGGTTTGTCATGAGTATTTTGTATTCAATGACCAGGACGTGTTGGTCATGTCTTATGTGTTGGAGATGTTAGGTGTGATGGATGTGTTGGTCTTGTTGGTTCTATTATTCTGTTGGTAAGTTAGATGTTTTGGATGCGTTGGTTATGTTTGATGTGTCTGATGTGTTGAAGATGTTGGTTTTGTCGGATGAGTTGGTTACATTTGATGTAAAAAAGTTGTTGGTCATGTTGAATGTTATGGATGTAATGGAAGTCTTGGTCATGTTGATTATGTTGGATGTATTGGTTGTTTGGTATGTGTAGGAGATGTTGGATGTGTTGGCCATGTAGAATGTAATGGATGTTGGATGTTTTGGTTATGTTGGATGTGTTGGTCAGGTTGGATGTAAAGGATATGTTGGTTATGTTGTATGTGTTGGTCAGGTTGGATATAAAGGATATGTTGGATGTGTTGGATGTGTTGGTCAGGTTGGATATAAAGGATATGTTGGTTATGTTGGATGTGTTGGTCAGGTTGGATATAAAGGATATGTTGGTTATGTTGGATGTGTTGGATGTATTGGATGTGTAGAAGATGTTGGATGTGTTGGTCAGGTTGAAAGTTATGGATGTGTTAGATGTATTGGATGTTTTGTATGTGTAGGAGATGTTGGTTGTGTCGGTTTGGTTGGATGTGATGGATGTCTTGTTCATGTTGGATGTGTTGAATGTATTGGAGGTTTTGTATGTGTAGGAGATGTTGGATGTGTTGGTCATTTTGGATTTGTTGGTCGTGTTGGATGTTGGTCGTGGGTTTGTGTGTAATGTGTCCTCACTTGTGTGACTTGTGGTCGAGGACGCTGTGGTCCAGGTCGATGTGGTTGATCAGTGTCTTATTGTAAAGAGAGCGTGTGTCCCTAATGACGTACAGGAGACTCTGACAGAACTTCATGCCCATCTCCTGCATTTCTCCAGTTCCTGTCTGAAGCCCCTACACACACACACACAGAGACAGTATTAAGTCATGAAGCTCACCCCTCAAGTCATCCTCAATTCACAGGTTATAGACAAAGAGGAAACAGAAATATTAGAGGGAAAGGTTTGGGAGGTCTCAGAGCGTCTGTGCTGAACACACACACACACACCTTGTATATCCCCTGGTCACAGCCATTGTAGGTGCTCTCCATGGTGTAGCTTCTCAGCACACCCATCTCTCTCCAAACCACCACCCTTGCCGTGGATGCGCGAGATTTCTCCACCTGACAGGGTGCAGATACACCACTGCTTAGACAAGATCCCGATTGACTAATGTGGTCCAAACTAATATATGTGATCCAGATTAATTAACACCGATCATTTATTCTAGTGTTTATACTAAGAAATTACTGAGTAGAGATGGGTATCAATAACCAGTTCGTGTTAAGAACCGATTAGAAATGGTTGAATCCATTTAGATCCTTATCAAAATCTTATCAATACCCATCCCTATTACTGAGTCAGATTACCAGGTAGTTGCAGCTGTTGAAGGAGAAAGCCGGAGCAATTCGATCTAACGTCTTTGGAATGGTCTGAAGAAAGAAAAAGGCAGAGACATTTCCATCAGTGAGTCTGTAGTTTCTGTGTGTGTGTGTGTGTGTGTGTGTGTGTGTGTGTGTGTGTGTGTGTGTGTGTATAGTTAATGTGTGTCTCTGTCTCACTGTCTCTGTCTCACTCTGTATCCAGGGTCCTCCTTCAGCCCAACAGTGTCCACAGCAGAGCCAGACTGCCACAGTGTCTCCTTCACACTGCAGCCGTACAGAAAGACGTTCTTCTTCCTGGAGTGTCCATGATAGTCACAAAACACCTAGAAGACAGGTAGACACAGAAACACTAGATAATTAGACAATTTGTAACACATAAAGAGAACATCTCTCGATCCTGTTTAGTCAGTCTGTCCTCCCTCTAAGAGCTCTAGAGTCTCTTTACCTGATTCACATTAAAGTAATCTTGTGCCCAGATCTCTGATCGGTGTCTTTATAAACCCTTACTTTAGCCTCTGACAAAACACTTCATTCAAAGTCCCATTCTGATCTTTTTTTAATACTTTAAGTGTTATCAGTGGTCTTTAAATTTTGATTATGACGTTTTTAGCCAAAATCGGATTACCTGTGTTATTAGTAGCATTAGGTAGTAGGATTGGCAGGTAATATAGGCTCTATTCAGCTTTCTGACACTAACATCTTTGGGGGCATGATGAAGTTATGATAAGCTTTCTTACGAGCATTGCAATCCGCTACCACACACTGCTTGGTGTCTAGTTTGCAGAACATGGCTAGGAGTGGAGCCTGGATTTGTGACATAAGAAATCTCTATGTGTCTGAGCCTGCTGTTTGGGTCTGCCAGAGGTTGACAGCCCTTTGAATGCAGAAATACTCAGAAAAGCAATTTTGCACTTGGTTTTCTCATGATATGACCTCTAGTTTCAGAAAAATGCCATATGAACATGTAGATGAAACTAGAAAAACAGGATTCTTATCTGAGTGGGGCTTAAAGGTACTGTCTCTTTAAGGAACTTCAAAGACCCCAAGAACCCAACATTCTAGAACCCAGCTCACCAAAACCAAGCATTCAGGAATCCTGCATTCCAGAATGCAGAACTCCAGAACCCGGCTCTCTAGAACCCAGTGTTGTAGCACCCAGTTTCTAGTACTCAGCATTAAAGAACCCAAAACCCAGAGTTAGTTTGAGCACCTTTACCTGACAGCCTGACAGATGTGATTATGTTCAATGGTCAGGTAAAATATGTGATAGATTGTTGGATGTCTGTTGTCCTGTCTTACAGGCCTAAACTGGACACATGAACACATACATGAAACTACACCTGTTAATAATGGTATCCTTTAGCGAACATAAAGCTCTGTAATAGAAGCAGTAATCTTAAAGTTGTCCATGTAGATTCTCATTCATCCAGGTCATGGTTTTCTTGAAGACTCCAACTTAGGCAACTGGACTCTACACAGTCCAGTTGCCTGATTTTGGAGTCTTCAAGATAATCTTAAAGTTCTTTCTACAAATTCGTCTCTGATGAAAAGATTCTTTGAAATCTTCATTTTCTACACAGAAACAATCATTTCCAAAAGTCTCACTGTCTCAGTCTGTTGACTCTGGTGTCAGAGTGATTTTGAGAATCCCACAGGTAGCGACTTTTGTGCCTGAAGCTAACATCAGCAGGGTGTGGGTCTCACCAGTGGCGTGCGTCCAATGCTGTTGAGGTAGTAGAGAAAGCCCTTGGTGTGGTAGATGGTAGGACTGAGGGTGGGGTCAGGTTTACACCACTGACGGTTCAGATCCTCACTGTTCAGGTCACACCGACTCCTGAACACACAAACACAAACACACACACACTTGGTGTTTCAAAGGAGGCTCGGGCTGATAGTCATACCACAAATACAAGAGGTATGATTACTGCTGCAGCCAGCGGTTAAACATGGCTCTTCAGAATATGAGCTATGTCAGGAAACAATGACAGTAAGCATGTTTTAAAGGCGGACATCATTCCCTGTGTCTGTGTTTGCTCCTGCCCTGTGCACTCTGAGTCCACCTGTGCAGGAGTTCATCACTCACATGCCATTGGTTACTCCGTCAGGGTTGAGCATGGGGATGATTTTAAAGATGAAGGTCTCCCTCAGACTCTGAGCCACAGGGTCGCTGCTGCACAGGAACTCCAGGGTGCCCTTCATCACCCAGCTGGCATTAGATTCACCCGGATGGACCCGAGCTGTCAGCACGATGCACGGTCGATTACCTGCAGAGACACAGTGATCATCAGCACTTTTCACGCTCACCTGTCATCAGGAGTCAGAGCAGTGACTTTCAGAGAGGACAAGAGGATTTCTGAACTCTGTGCTGTGGTATGGTCAGGATCTGCTGCCGTCATCCAATCAGAGCTGTTATCAGACTGATCTCAGCACTTTGTTTCAGTTTCAAGTCTCAAAGACAGAAACTAATGAGATCAATTAAACCCCCAATAACATGATCTTGATGATTTTTTTTTATCGTAGTGGTTCTCCTGACACTGTAAGACTGAACTCTTAAACTGTCTGCAGAGCTGTTCACTCGTCCTCCTACATAACTGTGAAATTATGCTAATGTGGCAAAGCTATGATGAATCTCACACTGTTTCCTCCTGAGCTGATAATTCCCTCATATTTCAGCTGGTAGGGTCAGTGGATTTCAATTAAAGAGAGAAACACAAAGATAGGAGGTCCAAGTATCTGTCTCTGTCAGGACACACACACACACACACACACACACACACACACACACACACACACACACACACACACACACACACACACACACACACACACACACACACACACACACACACACACACATGCATACTTTCATGCATGAAAAGCTACATAAAGCCTTTTTTCAAAGTTACTTTAGGTGATTTAAGCCATATTAATGCATGTATACGGCTTTATTACAATACCCATAAATGATTTTAAGTATTCAGCTTGGAGGAGTCATTATTAAGTGCTATAAGCAGTGATAACTCCGGCAACTTATTTATTAAGATTCATAAACCTCTGATGGTCAGTTCAGTCTCTTTAATGATGTTGTGTTTATACAATGAGGGGTATAAAAACAGGCAGATCTGCCATAAAACTGAGCATGTCCTTCCAAAGACACAGACCCTTTAATTCTATATTCAATCAGATATGAACCAGACTCCTCACTCATAACAGATGTCTCAACATGCTGTGAATAACGAGACAGACAGTCCTCAGTCAATACTCGCACAGTCCTCATACATTACTCACTCAGTACTATGTCAGTACTCACACAGTACTCTGTCAGTACTCACGCAGCTGGTGCATGTCTCTCCAGCTGCGGCTGGTTGGACAGGCAGTGATGGTGACCAGTGGACAGGAGTTTCCAGTTAGAGTCCCACAGAGAACCTGCTGCCTGAAAAACACCCTGGACGGATCCACAGACTTCTGGAGCTCCTTCAGGTGGGCCTGAGACAAAACACACACACACGGATGGATCGGTGGAGGGGTGGATGGATGGATGGATGGATGGATGGATGGATGAATATATGGATGGATCTATGGATGGATGGGTGGATGGTGTACTTACCTTCAGGGCAGTGTAGGTGTAGGGGTAGTGGTAGGCGATGTAGCAGACATCCTCTCTGTGTTTGAAGCTGACACTGAAGCTTAGTGTGTAGAAAGTGGACTTCCTCGGACCTCGAGCAGGACAGAAGTGATTCCTGGAGGAAAAACATAGCGTGTAGTTTTTAAAAAGTCTAGGCAAATGATCATCTTTACCTGTGTGAGCTCTGTACCCTTAGTTCTGATCATGCTGGGGATGTAGGGTATCATTCAGACATCAGTCGCACAATGAAAAAGCTCTTTATATCTGTAGCTGAACCATCTTTAGGGTCTGAGCCTATGCAGGTCAGTCATTGTCATGTCTCATGATTATTCAGTGTGACTGACTCAAACCAGGCTCTCTGTGTAGTGGACTTAAAGATACTGTCCACTGATTTCATCTGTCAAAACATAGAGTCTCTGCAGCAGACCCAGAGTCAGCTTGTTAACACATATGTACAGAGGTAGGGTGACTTCAATTCAAAAGAGGATGAGTATCATCACAGGGGTACGCATACACTGCCTTGAAATGGAAATATGTAAAAGCCTTACATGTTGAGGGCTTTATGTTTCTGTGTCTACCTTGTGACAGGCTGATCACCTGTCCAGATGTGACAGCTGTGATTGGCTGCAGACCTGAACAGGACCCGGATGGTAAACAGGGAATGGATGTATATATGCAGCTATTTATTCTCACCTGAAGTAACAAACTTCAGATCCAGTCCTGACCCAGTGAGGTCTGCCCTCTAGAGCCTCTCTGACTGAGTAAAGCACCGGCTGCATCCCTGTTAGAGGAAAACAAAGTAACACTTTAGATTCAGGTCCTCTTAAATAAGTATCAATGAATAAGCCACCAAAGCGTACAGCTCTTTCACACTGGTTAGCGCTTGTCCACGCTCACAATCACTTTTCTCCTCTCTCCTCCTCCTCCTGCTCTTCTCCCTGCTCTCCTCCTTCCTGCTAATAACTTTCACAACTTCACCGTGCTACCCTTATTTAGTGGGTCTTGATAGATTAATGTCAGCTTGTATTATCTCTGAAATTCAAAATTCAGTCTCATTCAGCAGTCATAGCCAAAAGGACCGTGAATCAAATTCAACCAATAAAGGATGGAGCTTCTTCAAGCAGCTGAATTTATAACATATGCTCTACTTTAAACACACACACACATGCACACGCACACGCACAAACTGAGGAGTTTGTGTATCTGACCGTAGTTGAACTGGCTGTTGGTCTTCTCACAGTTGATGACGTTGAATCGATAGGGGATGTCCGGCTCCATGTTACTGACCTCAAAGTAGAACCACTGTGTGTGCTGAGAGCAGTTTGTGTCAGCATTTAGGATCAGGTCATACTCATACCTGGCAAGGACCAGGACCAGGACCAGGATGGAAGGAGGCAGGAGGGGAGGAGATGAAGCAAAGGGAAGGAGGTCAGCTGAGGTCAAATATTAAATGTTTCTTTGTCAGAGTTTGACTCTTGGAAATACTGAGGTTTTCTCCTCTGTCCTTTTATTTTTAATGTTAGAATATATTAATATAACGTTTTTACACTATTGACCCAAAAATGAGAGTTTATTTTTCTCAAAGGAATCTAGGAAAAGTTGGCTTACATTTTGGTCTTGGTTTAGGAATTAAACCCTCTCAGACTGAAGCCGCTCTTTGTGACATGAATTTGTTGTAGGCTACTTAATATTAATATTGTTGTTTTTCCTGTATTATCTGATCTAAATAGAACAAGAGTTAAAATCACTTTAAAATCCACTCTCTCTCTCTCAGACTGTCAGCTTTTAGCTTATCAAGTGTTTCTGTGACATCAGGATTTTAATTAATTTAACATGTCTTTTTAGATTTTTAGTGACAATTGTTCTCAAAGTCAATGAAACAAGATTTATTCTTCAAATGTTTTTCCAAGAGGTTACATCAGGGTGCTCTCCTGTTCAGGTGTGTGTTTGTGTGTGTGTCTGTACCTGCGGACCTGCACAGCCTTCCTCAGGTTTCCACTTTCAAACTTTGAGTAAAACCTCAGACAGTCTGAAGGACACTGAAGACTGAGGGCACAAATAGACAGAGACACTTTGACAACAACAACAACAACAACACTGTGTTCATAGTTTCACTGTCTTAATAAAGATGTACATCATTTCCCCCTTTTTTGTTTTCATTAAAATCTCCTTGAGTGATGTTTTGTGTGTGTATCTACCTGCTGTCCTCCAGGTCGAACACCACCTGGTTAATGATGTCATTTGTGCTCAGGAAACGCCTGATGTCCTCAAACACCTTCAGTCTGATAGAAACACAGACACACACACAGAGTGAAGATACAGTCAAACAGGTGAGATTTTCTCTTTAGTTTTACAGTTTTATAAAGTCAGAAGTACAGTGACAGAGCAGCACACTGTCAGGTTTAGGTTGTTCAGGTGGTTCAAGTCGCTCAGGAGGTCCAGGTGGTTCAGGTTGTTTAGATAGTTAATCTGGGTTAGGAATTTTCCTTTTTGAGTCTTTTTTTTTTTTTACTTTGTCTAACCCAGGGGCAGAACCAGGACTTACTGGGCTGGTTAAATACCAGGATGAACTGGAAGACAGTCAGTGCACTGACATGCACAGTAAAGTCCTGCTACAGTTAAAGCTCCACCCTGCATTTTACCTGAACTGCTGTCCTTGTCCCAGTTTACCTGCACTGACAAGAATCAAATCACTGGTAGAATCATGTCTGCCTTTGATACAGTAGGAGGTCTCGTGCCCCCTTTCAGCTTGTTACTATCAAGTTTTCTCTTGATTGACGCAATACATAAAAAAAAAACAGTCAGCAATGCATGCTAGCTAGAGGCTAACAGGTTGTATGTCTAACAATGAAACACTATCATATTTACATTTCTGTCCAGTTTGTTTGTCAAAAAGTGAGGAGAGAGGAGAGAGGAGCAGCAAAGGGCTGATGGTGGAGATCAAACTACTGCTCTGTGGACTGTCAGCTTCAGTACATGAGCCACACAGTCTGAGGACATCTGAACACCTTGTTTACTCCAGAGTATACGGGCAGAGAATGTGTGATGGTTTGGGTTAATTAACATGTGTCAGAGCCACAGTCTATCTATCGACTGACTGTAAAACTGCAGACTGTGTCCCTCTGCAGACTGTATGACTGTACCCACAAGTAAGCCCACAAATAAGACAAACATACTTATAAAGACACTCACATCAAGTTGCATATATTTAAACGCCACTTGACAAAAGGGGGTTGTGTGCACAGATCACCACATAAATAAATACCGTGCATAACAGCATGTAAATCTGAACCACCTGTGCATAAAGGACGCATCACGCTCTATGGCCTGGCTTTTTCTTACATTTATGTTTGCGAATGAACTGAACTTGAACATTATAATACATTATTATATTGAACATATGAATGCTGGCATGTAGGCTTAACTCTGAATTGAACTGCCGTTAGTCTGAGGAGACTAGCAGATGCTGAGGAATGGCTGCTGCCTACCCCAGAGCCATCTACCATTCCGGCCTGTCCCAGGTAGCGCATTAAAGGGGTGCGGCTCTCCAGCTCCCCTGACAGCGTGCAGCGTCTGGCTGCATGGGGGAGAAGAGGAAGAAGAGGAAGAGGAGGGGGGTACGAATTAAATATCTTGTTAACTCCATCATGTGTGACTATTTTTGGATATTTAATTTAGTGCGGTTTCAGCTGTGTTAATTCAGTCAGGTTGAGCATGCCAAATGCGCTCACTAGACAACTCCCCCAACTAAACCACCACCCCCATTTTGGCGCATCTTGGTGGGCCTCAGTCTAAGAATTTCCCAGGGCTGTGCTGCTGGCGGGCAGGAATTTAGAGCCCTTTGTGTGACTGAAGACCTTGTGACTGCAGACTGCTTCTGACTGCAGAAGTGCAGACTGTGAGTGTCTGTAGACTGTGAGACTGTACGCTGTGTTAAGATGCTTCTGCAAAATTACTGCATGAGACATGCCTGACCCACAGTCAGGTTAGAGAGCAGAGCAGCATTTATCTATCAGTCTGAGCTGTCAGAGCATCAAATACAGAGTGAAATTCAGTGCAGCGGGACTGATGGAGGAGAAGAAGAAATAAAGGAGGACAAAAACCCAAAGAGAGGATAAATGAGGAGAGAAATGGACCCACAGAGAGCAATTTGAAGAGGACGGGCTACAGAATGAGCTGTCACATCTGCTGGAAAGGAGGAGGATGGAGTAATAAAAGAACAGATGGAGGAATAATGGGAAGTGACAGGGAGGCAGAGAGACTACAGAGAGTGGGAAGACAGTAATCAGGAAGAAAGACAGAGCAGGGACAGGCAGGATGGAGGAGAACAAAAGCGAAGGAGTGCAAGAGGCAAAGGAGATCAGAGAAATCTTCATAAGGAGAGGGAGATTGTGACAGAGGTGCCACAGATATAAAATGTCCCTCCTGAGCTGCTGTTCTTTCTCTAACTCATCTTAAACTCAGCCGTCTCAGCTGAGCTTTGAAATCCTCCTTCGCTGAGTAACATCAGGGCTTGATGCAATAGTTGGTGAAAAAATGAGATTCATGCATCGACCTGAGAGATTCTTGTGCAGGGACGAAGAAGAGCTGCGGTGCACGCAAACCACATGGCCTATGCACACATTTTCTTAGCGAGCGCTTTCAGAGAGACTCACACGCAGCAGTCTCTGCTCTGAGTGTGTTTTTACAGCCGGTGAGGAGGTCAGAGCAGGTCAAAGATTCATAAGCAGAGAAGTAGCGAGCAGAGGAAAAACAGTCTCACGCTTGTGATCATGACATGGTTTTCTCCTCACAGTCTGCAAAGTTTCACTCTGAAGCAGAGAGATGTTGCACGCGAGTGAAGTGAGGGACTCACTGAGATTTATGCGTGCCTGCGGCTTTTGTGCAGGTGCATTTCTTTGACATCTTCTCCTTTTATATTTGAGGATCTGGTATGTACGTATGTGACGCCATAAGCACCACCTGTATTTTCACATGACTGCGTGTGGACGTCAAGCTTCAAGCTCTAAATTGTCTCTGGTCTGCCGTCTGGATTATCATCAGTCTGGTGTTCTTTCATCTCTCCAGGGGCTTAATGTGGTCAGATTTTAAGAACACAAAAGGGCGCTCCAGACCTCTGAGATTCCGTCCAGCTCTTTTCTTCTCATCCCAGTACGACTCTTCTGACGGTGTTTCTGGGTCAGAAACTAAAGGTGCTAACTGGAACTAAAACAGGTTCTTCAGAGTGATGGAATATGAGAACCATTTCTGGTTCCACAAATAATCTTTCATGCTAGGATTACTTAAAGAACCATTTCCCTAAATTAGCATTGTGGTACCTTAAATAAAGTGGAAGAAAGAACTTGTTCCAATCCGTCAGTGCGTTTACCTGCACAGCTTAATCAGACTAAACTCATAATTCATTTTTTTCGTGGAATTGGACTTCTCTCCTTGTCCGCTTTTACATGCAGCTGAGAAAATCGAATCGTTGATGTGAACGTGTCCTCCTCCCCAAGACTAGGGGGTGATATGGGTCTTTTTAACCACATTGTTTCAGGTTGACCCAACAACAGCAGCAGGTCCGTGTCAGACATCAGATGTGGCTCTGCTGAGCATTTTCGAGCAAGAAGATGGAGCATCGTACAGTGTTGTTTTAGTCGTACATGATGTACGCGCTACTTTTTCTGCATGCTATTCCTTTTCTCTGGTGTTTATGTTCCGGGGTTACGGGGCGTGGCGAACGTACGCATGCATTGTCCTATCATACTCCAACTATGCTGGTTACATGGTAGAAAAAATTGAATTCCAATCACATTATCTGGGTGTCTTAATCAGAGTTCTCTGACTCTATTCAGAGTTATCAAACTCCGATTATTCGGTTTTCTCAAGTGTCACGTAGTGTCATGTAAACCGAGTGTGATAACTTCATATATTGGAGTATATTTATTTATGACACTCTGATCCTCTTCTGTCAGCTCCTTTCACTGAGGAAACTGCTATTTAGATGCTTTTGGTACCTCTGGACGTTGGGTCTGCGGGGGGCCATGACTTCATTTCCTGGTGGGGGGAGGTGGCCCCAGAAATCAGGGAAGGCCAGGATGCTGAAGCCGGGGATGGACTGGGTTCTGGTGGCTGCAGCTCGGTACAGTCTGGGGTCATGGTGGGGGATAGAGACCCCGTGGCGCCCCAGTAACCTGTCAATCATCGTACGATGGTTGGATTCCTCTGCCCCCTCCTTCTCAGCTTCTAGATTCCCCCCTCTCTGACCCGAGGAGGCATCCTCTCTATGAGAGGGGGAGGAAAGATATCAGCGGTCAGTCAGCCAGACAAACATCCAGGATAAACTCAGAAAACTTAGAGATGATTCGAGAACTTGAGCTGCAGGTATTTTTGATTTTACTCAACATCTGCAGTGATCCAGCTGCAGCAGATGGTTCAGAGAGTCAATGTTTTGGAGTGAAACAGTGTGTGTCAACATACCTGGTCTCTTTCACCATACTCCTGAAGCTCGGGCTGGTGCTCAGAAAGTTCCTGTGACGACGAAAACCTGAAGCTTCTGACGGAGGAGATGCTGCAAGCAGAGACACTGTGTGTCAGGTAAAAAGATCTGAATATAAGTGTGCATTGAGATGAAACCTCAATTCAACTGGAGTTATGTACGAATAATGTTCCTGAGTGTCAAATGTGAAAGAATGAGTGGATTTCATCATCTACAGAACATGATACTGCTCAAAGATTCAGATATGGATATGGGGATATGGGGATCATCAGAGACCATGTCATGGGTATCTTCCACATCTGTGAAGGATCCATTAATGCTAAAGAATATCTACAGGTTTAGGATCAACATCTGCTGACATCCAGACGAAGACTTTTTTTCAGGGAAGATCTTCATATTTTAGCAAGACAATGACAAACCACATTCTGACAACAGCTTCATGTCTCTATCAGAGTTGGTCTGGATGTCAGCAGTCCTCTTGGTTATCGTGTGTTTGATGTCTGTTTTGTCTCTGACCTGGTGTGTGTCTCTCTGAGGACATGTCTGTCTCTGAGGTGGACTCAGTGGAGGTCAGGTCTCTGCTGCTTGTACTCCTCCTCCTGCTGCTTGTACATTTCCTTCTGGAGGATTGAGGACAGAGTATTTCATCCTCATCTGATGAGGACGACGATGATGATGATGATGATGAAGTATCCTCAGACTCTGAACTCAGGTCCAACTCCTGTGCAACAAAGATCAGGGTTTACATGGATGGACCAACATACCAACCAGCTGTTTGTCTTACAGTTCAAGTGTACTCTGAGTTTGTTCATTTATGGATGTCAGTGTCTTCTTGAGGAAACAAGATGACGTAACCACCTGAAACTACATTAGTGTCTGACTTTGACATTTGATAGCAAATGTCTTTCTCTTACACCACATGCCCTATGGAAGTGAGACAAAGATAAATACTGTGAACAGCAATATAGATCTCGCTGTATGTTTGTTACACTGACTGAAACAAACAGCAATACTGTAACCTGAAACTGCTCTCAGTAATGTTAGCTAGTCTTGGCTAACAGATGAAGCTTCAAATGGGAGTAATTGTATAAGTGAAAACTGTAAACTCAAAAAATAAAAATAAAAAATCCTGCTCTGTACGGCTAAAGATCTGTGTATAACAGTTTGAACGTTTTTAAATGGATTGCAACAAACATACAAACTTACTCCAAATTTATTTAGTATGAAAAAATACCCTGTTTTGTTTAATTGAAATAGCTGCAGATCAGTGGCGGCTGCTGGTCTTTCAATGAGGGGAAGCTCATTTTTCTGGCCTACATCATAATTGTATTTGTTTATTAGTATGTAACAGAACAGAGTCGCCAAACACAACGGCAGTCGTTTTTAATAAAGACAGAAGTCGCTGAGGATCGGTAAAGTCTCCGGAGCAGTTAAGAACAACGGAGTGAATGACTTGGAAAATGCTCTGGTAGATGTTTTATTCTTCAAGATCGCTGATTCGCTTGTTTAGCTGTCAATCAAAAAAGGATTTCGCCTCAGACAGCTCATCCAATCATGGATGCAGAAGCTTGCAGTCCGGGAGAAAGTCGGGACCGCCCTCTCGCCATAGAACTCCAGTGAAGCTTAGCTTCCATTGGGCGGGACAAAGCCCTGCATTTATCCAATGAGCGTCTAGTTTCGCTGCTGGAACAACCCACTTTTAGCTTCCACATTGAAGTCAGCAGAAGCCCAGCGTCTGGCTGTTTAAAGCGCTGAGGCGCTGCGAGGATGAATGAGAACGAAGTTATGCCGGTTACCTATAATTATCAGCTTCTTATCACAGTGTCTGAACAAAAGATGAAGGCTTTCTAGTGCGTATTTAGTTAATGAAATGTACACACAGCAGTACGTATTTCACCACTTTTTCTTTTTTTTGGGGGGTGACATTTTAAGGGAAGCCGAGCTTCCCTTGCAGTCTTAGAGCAATCGCCACTGCTGCAGGTACTGTTTGGTTCAAAAACATTCAAGGACGGCTCAGATGTGAGCTTTTATTTTGAAAATAAAAAATATAGGGGGTGTGGCCAAGAGGCACCTGGCAGGTTAAGACCTGGGAGCTCCTGGCTGCAGCCAAATCCTCCAGTCTGCGTTACAAACACACAGACTCTCAACTGAGAAGATTTAATCCCTAATATAGATCCTGACAGGTTAATGTGAAGTGAATTCAAATAATAATCCTTTTATGATTTTTTATAGCATAATTTAATCCAATATTAGAATATGACAGAATGATATGAAGTTGATCCTGTGATACAGTGAAATAACTTTAAACCCAGTTTAAGGTCCTGATGAATTAACATCAATTTAATCCCAGTTATGGATCCTTACAGTCTAACATTAGATTAATCCCAGCTATAAATCCTGACACATTATCACAGATTTAATCCCAGTTAAAGATGCTGACGTATTCACATGTGAGCCCCTTTTCTTCAGGTGTGAGCACCCTTATAATCATCATTATTATCAGGTGAGTCTCATTCATCCTGTTGAACATGACGTGAGTTATTATCACAGAGCCAGACTCTCATTCATTATCTCTGACTGAGGCTATTTCTGTCACACACACACACACACACACGCGCACACGCACACACACGCACGCACGCACGCACGCACACACACACACACCTCCTCGGTTAATTAGAGATGATCTCCACTCAGGCTCTTTTAATTTTGGTTTTATTGTTTTATTTTTGTTTCATTTCTTTAAACTCCAGTTTAAAAAAACAGTGTGATGATTGTTGGATGTCAGTTTAAAGGTTATAAAACACTTCTCAACCTCCAGCTGATATACTGCAGGATCAGAGGTGTGTGTGTGTGTGTGTGTGTGTGTGTGTGTGTGTGTGTGTGTGTGTGTGTGTAAACCTGGAAGTCATGGGACAGTTCTGGACACAGTCTGCTGTACTGGATCAGCATCTCCTTGGGTCGGTCAGGCTCTGGGCAGTGACGCAGTTTGTTCAGGTCTGTCTCCAGGTCATCATCCTGAACGAACACACACACATTCAGCAATTTGTAGGTGTCCTCTAGACCTCTCTCTCTGTTCAGTCTTCGTGTCTTTCAGGGTGAAAGACACCTGAAAAGACACAAGGACTGCATCTGCTGCTGCTAGTCTACTGTGTCTTACCAAGTCCAGCTTAAAATCTACCAAGAGGTTTTAGAGACCTTCATGCTTCATCTGCTTAGAAGCTTTATGAGATCCAGATTTCACTTTCTAGCAGGACATAAAAAACCTGCCCACAGCGCCAGAACTACCAGAAACTGGTTTGAAACTGGTTTCAAGTATCTTGCCACAAGACGCCTCTGCACTTGGACCATTTCTCCCAGAATCAAACCCCTGACCCTCAGATTGGGAGGCGACTGACTCTACCAACTGAGTCACAGCTGCCTCTTATCATTTTCACCATTGTTTCTTTATTCCAATCACAAATACATGCCATCACATTTATTCAATTCAAAGCTTCTTACACCAAAGCCTTGGGGTGTCTTTGATAACCACTCTGCATGTTTTACTTTTAGTGTCCACTTGATGGCACAGTAGAACACATGAAGAGCCATGAAGCTTTGACCTATGAGTAAAGCAATTGGATGGAAAGTTTAAGGCTTAATGAGGCTTTGTCTTACCATCACTAGAAAGAACCCCTGACCAAGAACTGAGAGCAGAAATGAGCGGAATTGTCTAGAAGGTCCACGTGTCGGGATTAAAAATTGTTTTTTGAATCCTGGAAAAAACTGATGGTTTTAGGCACTGGATTTTTTTGTGTTCATAAATTACAAGCCAGAATATTCATATTTCACTTTACACATTGGGAATGTAAAACCACATGAATGTTGAGCATTTTTAAAAAGGTTATCTAAAACAAACTACATAGTCTTAGTTACTGAGATCAAATTACAACAAGTTGTAGGATCCATCGCTGGATAAAAACATTTCTGCTGTTCATTTAACAGGATCAGAAAAGAAACACTTTTTTTTCAGATAAATTTGTCGACCTTGTGTGTGTGTGGACTCTGAAACACACTCACATAATCTTTGCTCTCTTCCTCCTGGTCATCTTCATCTTCATCCTCCTCACTGTCATCACTGCTCACATCTGAAACGGCACACAGACACCAGTGAGAGATCAGCTCACACACATAAAAGCCTCAACTGACCACAGCAGGGAAGTTTAAACTATACCTGGAGCCAGGTTTGTCTCAAGTGCGTCATGTGATCTTCCAGGCAGAGGAAAGGTGTATGCAGACTGATCAGAGATGAGAGGAAGAGGAGTTTTAGGGAGACACTTCCTCATCAGTTGCACGGACGGCTCCACCAAACAGTCCCGACCTTTACTGTGCAAACACGTCTGAGCAGAGAGAGACAGAGAGGACATGAGGACAGGTAACTACAGATTATTCTGTTTCATATGCATACATGGAAGCCATGGAGGGGAGAGCAGCAGCAAACACCCCCAGGTTTCATAACAGAGTAGGACCAGCACCAATCTGTAGAGTGCTGCTAAAATCAGACATGGTCAAAAAAGGAGGAGCTCAGGTGGAGATGAGCAGCACAACAGCACAGAAACTGGTATAATCAGACACAGCATAAGCAGGAGGAGCTGGAGTGGAGGCAGGGAGAGCAGCAGCAAAGACATCGGTATCATCAGACACAGCTGGAGGAGCTGGATTGGAGGAGGGTTGCAAAGTGGTTTGCAGGGGAATCAGTCAGATTAGGCAGGAAAAGTAGGAAAAGTACCTCAAACTCTTTTTTGTATTTGATAGTTGGATGCTAGAAGGTAATCAGCTGAGCTGTCAGCTGAAATGATCTTGTATTAAGATCAGCAGATGTACTGTGGGCGGAGCTTGACTGTGTGGTCCGTTTAAACTCATAATGTGCTTAACACGTAAAATTACATCAGAAGCTTTATTTTGGTCTTGCAAGATTAGTACTAAAAATTTAGCTGTCACAATAAGTAAATTGAATAAAAAGTAACTTTTTTAAGCTGCTTCTCAATCACAGATACATATTTTTCTTTATATTTCTTGTTGAATTAAAACTTTTATACAAATCTGGTAACTAGTCTCCAGCTCTCTGACTGAAAAAAAAAACAACGTTTTTTTGTGGAGAAACTTTTCTTCTCTGACATGTTGAACATCTTGAATTTAGTTGAGTTTGACATTTTTTAACTTTTTCTTTTTTTTAGAAAACCTTAGGGGAAGGTGAAGCATTGACCTCATCAAACAGGGCAGTCAAATTTTTATTGATCTGGTTAAAAAGTTTAAGATGATTATGACTCATCAAACTGATCAGTAGAGCAGAGGAGCACAGGTGTGGTCTCAGTGTTACCTGTGTGGTCTGGTACAGCAGTCGGAGTCCTCCCTGTAATCGCACAGCCTGTCTGCCTGCAGCACTGTGGGTCAGCTTATGGAGGCAGCGCAACAGAGCATGGCAGATCTCTGTGGCCCCACACTGAGAGTCATTACTGAACCAGTCCTCATACAGCTGCAGAAGACCAGAGACGAAACCTTTGGACACCGCTGAGGACACGTTAGCCTCTGAGACAGACAGACAGGACAAAACAGGTGTCCAAGAGAGAGAGAGAGAGAGAGGGAGGAAGAGAAGGAGAGACAAAGAGAAAGAGAGCCATCAGTCATCGTGGGTCAGTAAAGGTGACCAACATTTGATAGTGACATGTAACCTTATATAACCTCACTTTAAAAAACACAGAAATATCCCTTTAAAGCAAAGACTGTAGAGTGGTGATGAAATGCCAAACAGAATTAATGTTATGATATTTAGATATGTTCAGTTTGGACTCTAGAGGGAACAAAACGTTAAAAACAGATACGAGGAAGAAAAATCTCTTCAAACCAGAGTGCTACCTTCACACTGAATTCTGTATTACAAAGAGACACCGAGAGTGTTTTCTGCTTTATGAGCGAGCCGTCCCTCTGTTGTTTTCTGAAGATTGGCACTTTGACATGAGGAGCAGCAGAGTACTGCATAAATGATGAGGAAGCTCAGGGCCTGCAGATCTCTCTCTCTTCAAATGTGCTCCGTCAACAAACAGTGTTCCCACAGCACGTGACAGAGACAAACACAAACTTTAAACAGAGAAAGAGAGAGAGAAGGATCTGTGTTTGCTGACTGTGTTTTCTGAGCTGATCTGAGTTTATCTGCAGCCTCAGGAGGATTCAGACTGACAGGAGGCTGCAGCCTGTCCTGCTGCTCAACGCTGACATTAGACGAGTCAGGGTTTGTTCAGAGAAATAACAGCCTCTTTGAAAATCAAAAATAGTGCGAAGACAACAAATTAAACCTTGACACTGAGAAAATCTTATTGTTTGATGAAAAGTCTCTGCTCACTTTAAATTTGATCCCAGAAACATGTTCCTAAAAAGTAGTACCAGGATAGATTCCACTCTAGAGTCATGTACGATTTTGATGCCGTTTTCTTGGTGTTAGCTGTTTGTCTGTTTGTCTGTTTGGTCATACCTCTGACTACTTTTCACAAACATATTTTCAAGGTTTTAATTCTCAACATGTTGTCTTTGGTAATCTGTCACATACATGCACACACTCACAAACAAGTGCTCTGCCTGGACATACACAGAGGAAACAAAAAACAGGGGTGCCCCCTGCTGGAGGAGCTTAAACATCACACAGAAGAGAGAGATTCAGTCTGTCGAGTCTTTGATCAGCAAGATCCAATTTAGTGAAATAACTCCAGCTTCCCTCTGACCATAATAGAGTGGGTTTGGCAGTATGTCAGTTGAAGCTTGGTGTGTGTTTTCAGGGATGTTTCAGGACTTCACACTGATGACCAGCCCCTGTGAACAGATCACGGTTCCTTGCATATGGCCTACATGGATTCTTAGAAGCTAACCCTGCTGTTGCACACATGTTGAAAGTGATGCACCACTGTGATGTCTTTACACTCCAAATCACAAGTAAAACTACTGCAACAGAACTGTGTTTCCTCTCCTCTATTCCATGCAGCCTGCAGAAATAGAAGCTGAGGGTGAAATGCTGTAACACCCTCATAGACCTGTGAGTATGCAAGAAAATAAAGTAAAGTGAACTTAAAAAGGTGCAGAGCAGAGAGTTCAGAGAATCTTTTGGACTGATAAAGTTATATTTGGAGTTTAAAATCACTTAGACCGGAGCAGTGGTGATGGTGATGATGAAGATGAGGGAGGTGATGATGATATAAACTTACTTGTGCTGAGCAGAGCAGCAAAGGCAGTGATGGCCGCCCTGAGAGAGACAAAGGCAGCAGTTAGTCTCTCACATATAAAATCTAATTCAGCTTAAACTCTTTACAAAATTTCATGTAATTAAAATGTAATATTCAAATGAGGTCTGTGATCTGATTGGACGAGAGGCACTTCAGAGCGCAGAGTTAGTGTTGGGTCGCCGTCTTGAAGAAATATAGTCTCAAGAGTCATACCTGAACTAATCATGGAGATCAGGATGAGAAATACCAAAAGATTTGGTCTTGCAGTTAAAGAGAAAGTAATAGAAACTCTTTTTGGTAGAATATGACAATAAATAACAGAAAATTCTCAAAAAAGAACTATAAAAAGACCCTTCGTTTGCCATATAAATAACAAAGAAGACACAGCCAGCGAGGGGGTTAAGTCAAGTGTCTTGCCCAAGGACTCTTAAGCAATTAGACACTGAACCTAGGATTGAACCCCCAACCCTTAGTGTATCCTTGAGCCACAGCCAACCCCCAGGTCTTGCTCAGAGGTTTAAAACAGACGCTCCTGTTTTCTGGTCCCTCAATGTCACCAAAAACAGCTGACAGTGTTCACCCCATTGTCTGCTTCTGAAACTCTGATAAATGGAGGAGAGAACTGTGTGTGTGTGTGTGTGTGTGTGTGTGTGTGTGTGTGTGTGTGTGTGTGTGTGTGTGTGTGTGTGTTCGTGTGCGTGCATGCGTGTCAGTTTAGTGTTACCAGCAGAAACTTAACATGCTGTCACTAATGAGCGTCTGACAGGATTTGCAGAGGTCCTAACCTTGGGGTCACAGAGGTCAGAGTTTGTTTACTTAGTGTGTGAGATGCAGCAGGGCAGCGTTACAGGAAGTGTCACTTTACAAACAAACACCTTCAAAGGAACAACAAACAGCGCTGAAACACACACTCACAGTGATGGCTGTCAACATCTTTCAGTGTAAAATCTGCAGTGAAGTCAGGTTTTTAGGGCTGTGGCACTGAGAGAAATACGGGACCAGGTCTGTGTCAGATGGTGACGTGGGCTTCATTAATCCTCTTGTTAGTGTAGTATCTCACTGTGTTCAGGTAGAAACTAACAGATTTTAAACAAAGCTTTGGGAGCAGATCAAACCAACAGAAACAGAGTCTGACCCACCTGCCTGTTTATGAATGAATTTATGAATGTCTGCAGAGAGAGGCACCTGCTGTAACAGGATCATTTATTGTTGGATTCTGTGAAGGTTGAACACGATGTTGGATTGTGATTGGCGGGCAGCTACGCAGCTGACAGACGGTGTTTCAGAGCCTGTTTCCACTGATAGAGGTCTGATAGTGTGACGACTGTGTTTTCAGGTGTTGTATGAGAGAGATGAGCTGCTGAGGACAGCTGACGGTTGAAGGATAGATTTAATTCTTCACTGCTTAAGGAGTGCACGCGTCAGCCAACCAGTATATCCAGCATTAACTGTCCAGAGCTGTAACTGGCTGAATGAGAGTGATGGACACGTCTAACTGCCTCTCACACCTCAGAGAGATGGCATTTCTCCCCTCAGAGCTCTCAGGACATCATAGGAATTCACAGCTGCCTAATTCTATCAAATTATCCAGAGCAGCAGCTGCTCTTAAACCTCTTCTCTCGAAGTCCTCTAATCGTGTTAGAACAATTAACAGCTGGCTCCTGCACGAGAACGGCCCCGAAACTCACTCTGAGGACCGTAAATCTGACAGTCAGTGCGCCCCGAGCCTCCCCTCACTCCACCCCACAGGGTCAGGTTCAGTCCTGGCTGATCAGAAGCTGGTATGTGAGGCATAGAGCCAGCTGAGAGGCCTGGTGCTCCTGGCATGCTCTGCAGGGTATACTGGGGGATTCTGGGTATTCGAGCCAAATGCCATCAGCGGGGACAGAGACAGACAAGGAGGACATGGATCTAAGGAGATATACTTATATAAGAGAGAGAGAGATGAAGGCTGAAGAGCTCAAGAGGAATGATGATGTGTTGATACTCAGAATATGTCAGTTTAATGATGATGTTTCCTCTAAGTTATTACGCTGCCATGGAGACGGTGTTCATTACTCACAGGTGGCTTTGACACACCTACACACACTCTGAAGACCATGTTAAAGGATCCTAATGCAAAACACAGCCCTGACTAGACTATATCATCTGTGGTAAACAGAGTAAACTTATTTCACACTTTCTTTCCACCGCAGAGAGTTTCAGGGGAAAAAAACACAAACATCTCGAAACACATGCTTTCAATTTAGGAGAACAAATGGTTCTAAGGACTTTCTGAAGAGGAAATTTCCTCCGGGGAGTTCCCTAAGAACTTCTCGCCATGGGAACCTTTTAACGGTGAAGTGCTGTAAGCTAGCCAAGTGTGACATCACTACACACCATATCTGTTAATACGAGGGATGCGGTGGTGGGAGAGGTGTAGCCTTCTCCCAGTTTCTTCAGCAGCTTACGGCTCTGTGTGGTGGATATGCAGCTTAGCAAGCTAATGAGATTTTAATCACTCTGCTAAGTCAATATCATGATGTGTCTCCTCTGTCATATCAGCGCTTATTAAAGCCCAGATTTTATTACCAGTGCTGTTTTTTTTTTAACAATGTCAAGAACATTACTGACTCCCACTGAGCAATAAACGGCTATTAGACGTCTAGTTTTTTTTTGTGTGTGTGTTTTTTTAGACCTAATTTCAACTGTCTGGATTCCGTATATTTTTAAATGGAATTTAGACGTTGCACTTTAACTTGTAATTCGATAACTATTTATTTCATAAAGCAACTGTGAGTTGCAAAACTGATCTCCAAGTACTTAACCAAAATAATTATTATAGCCGTTAAGCAATATATAGCTAGACCTCTGTTAGCCGGCTAGTCTAAACTTGGTCTGAATTTAGATGTCTTAAAAACTTTAATTTTTAGACCTGTGGTAGCCTGATTTTAGACCAGTTGTCTAGGCAACATCTAGCTGTCTATTAGATCTCTTTTAGACCCAAAAATGCTCAGTGGGTTGTTATCAGGAACTAAGCACCAAACCTTTAATGCGCTCCAAAACTCACCAAACCTTACACATGTATCAGGCCTGAGCAAACAAACAAATAAATTAAAGATATTTTAGGACTTAACATCAGACAGAATAGTGTCTCAGTGTGAATGTTTGATCGAGAACAGATTGTTAGCTGACCTTCATTTAGATATCTGTTTATACAGAAAAAGAAATCCTCCTGAGACTACCTGCCATGGGAGATAGCTGTCCCATGGCATTTGCTCTCCGTACAGACTGTTTTTTACTGCAGACGCCAAAGCTTGATGATGCCTGATAGGTCAGTGCTACTCAAGACTTTGGGGTGCTTGTTGGTTTAAGAATTTGAGCAAATACAGTGTCACTTACCAGATGTTTTTGTCCAAAGTGACATACATTTGAGAGTGAATACAACACAAGCAAAGGTGGAAGCAACATCAGAAAGAGATACAAACTGCTATAAGAGCAAGTGGGCTGAGAGCTGTTGTGTCGTGAATAAGGCAATGCATTTTTGTAAGAAATAACAACCTTAAACCAAAGTGAATCTTCAACCAAATGAAGTCACGTTGACGCTGTTATTATAGTCGCAATCGATCATCATCATCCATCATCATCCTCCATCATTATGATCATCACCATCAGGTGCAGCAAGTGCAGAAACATTCACAAAGAGCTGTGCACAGTGTCTCATTCTGGACCATCTGCAGAGGGTTGACTGTGCATGCAGCGAGGCCTGCCAGTAAGGAGTTGCAGTCGTCAATGCATGACAATACAAGAGCCTGTACAAGAGGAGCTCTGCTGCAAACTCTGTCAGGTAGGGTCTGATCCTCCTGATGATATTGAGGGAGAATTGACAGGACCCAGTAATAGAGACCACATGAGCCTTAAAGGTTAGAAGGTCGTTAATCATGACACCCAGATTCAGGCAGACTTAGTGTGCACAAATTGATCTGGTCTAAGCTGGATACTGATCTGTGGTTGTAAAGAGGGACTGGCTAGAATGACAAGCATCTTAGTTTTTGACAGGTTGAGCTATAGGTGGTGTTGCTTCATCCATTTACAAATATCTCTGAGGTATGCTGAGATTCAGGTGGAGACAGTTTTGGGTATCATCTACATAGTGATAGGAGAATCCATGAGATTGGATTATTGTACTACATGAGATTGTGTTTACAGAGAAAAGTAGGGGGCCAAGCACTGACCCTTGAGGAACCCCTGTTAATAGGCAATGTGGTTTGATCGCTTCTCCTCTTCATGACACTTTAAAAGATCTCCCTTTGAGGTGGGACACAAACCACTGGAGGGCAGATTCAGAATAACCAAGATCAATGAGTGTGAGGAGGGAGATTTGGTGGTTCACTGTGTCAAACACAGTAAACCACCACTGACAGATCCAGCCGGAGTAAAAGTGAGGACTGGCCGGCAGCAGTTGTTGGTTTGACTCCCAGCCATGACCCTTGACTTCCCCCTCTCTTTATCTCCTGGACAACTTCTTATTCCTGCCTCTGTCTAGCTTTCCTACCAAACAAGGGCAACAACACCACGAAAAAACAAAAAAAACACTTAAAAATTTTGTTTCTGGAGTACGATTAGACACAAGAACTGGAATCCAGACCTGCCGAGAGCAGATTTGACACTTTTGTAATAAATCTATAAACAGAAATGACTCTCTGAGTGCACCTGACCTACCAAACACCACCAGTAAACAGACAGACAGAGGCCTGAAATAAAACATGCACGCAGGAGGACATGGAAAATTAATGAAGATATTGGAGGAAATTATGAGACGGTAAGCCAAAACCTGGAACATGCATTACAACTGACCTGACTTCAGTTTTCAATGACCCGTAGAGGTGGAGAGATTATTAATGAGGAGTACGTTTTTGTTAATGTTAAACCTATCTTAAATAAAACAGATGCTAACTGTTTTAGTGCCAAAATTAAAAATACACAAGTCAGTGAAAGTCAATGAGACTTTGTGGTCTGGTTGTGGCTCTTAGTGAAAGATTTGATTTCACGTTGTGGGTCAGCCAGCGGCCAGCGTACATTAGCACATTAGCTGAAGGTGGGAGGCAGCTAAGTCTGTTAGGCTGCTCAAATAAAAGGGGATCAGTCTGCTGCGAGGCTGACATCACAGCTCATCACAGAGAAACCATCCTCCAGGCCAATAATAATAATAATAATAATAATAATAATAACTTTATTTATTGATGTTTAACATGTGACTCTGACAGACACTCTTCACTGAGCTGCATGAACCAGGTTTACTTACTTGATGGGGCACAGGTGTTGGGTGGTGTACGGGGGGATCAGGTGGTAGATCACATCCAGTCCATGGTTTTGTCCAATCAGGTTTGCTGTAGAAACTGGACAGAATAAAAACAAATGAACAATTATTGTTCAAACATGAAGCAGAGTTTAGACCCAGGCAGGTGCTTTAAGACCTGCAAACATAGACTGCAGATCAGAGTGCAAAGGGATCTGGACTGCTGCTGTTCTGTAAGGGAGACACTGAAGTAACTTTAATAAAATGTTTATTAAAAAAGTTTATTAAATGTGTTTTTTTTTTAATAAAATAAAAACTCTATGAAACTTTATGAAAAACATAGTTAATTAAAAAGTTTATTTAAAAAAGTTTATTAAAGCCACAGTGTCAAATCCACAGTACAGAGACATGAGAGAAAGTTTCATTTAAAGACAAAGACAACAAACCAAAGAGTATAAACAGGAGCACTGAGCCATCAAGATCTTTAAAGGTGTTTTACGTAACCAGGTTTTAAGAACTGAACTGGGAGCTTTATAGAGTCCCAGAGGACAGCAGGGCTCAGGTTTTTTGGGGGCTGAAAGGTTGAGTTATGAGGATGTTGATGGAGTGGGGAGGATGGCAGAGGTAAACTTAGCTCAGTGTAATAGGTCTGACATGAAACTGTAGGAGAGGGGAGGAGCTTCAAAGCAGCTTCCCTCCATCTGTACTGACTGCACATCGTAGCAAACTACATGAACCTCAAAAACTACATACAACTAACAAACTACACTAACCTCACAAACTACACACACTTAACAGACTACATAAACATCCCATCAGACCAAACTACACAAACTTCGCAAACTACACACACTTAACAGACTACATAAACATCACATCAGAACAAAATATACAATACTTAAAACCTATACATCATAGCAAACTACACAAAATTCAAAAAAACACAAACTTCACATCAAACAAACTTCAAATAAGAACAAAATACACCAGCTACACATCAAAACAAACTTCACAAATAACACAAAATACCCAGACTACACACCAGAGCCAACTACACAAACCTCACATTAGTGCAAACCTCACAAACTTAACAAACTACACAAACTGAAAATTAGGACAAGCGACACTAATGATGCAAAATACATAAACTACACATTATAGAAACAACACAGACTACAAACCAGGACAGAATACACAAACTACACAGTCAAGCAAACTACATAAAATTCACAAACTAAAGATCAGAGCAAAACACAAAATCTACACAGACCACACATACTACTGAGTCTACACAAACTGGCTAGGACTACACAAACTACACAAAATCCACGAACTTTACAAGAGCAAAATACACTGATTTTACATCAGAATTAACTCCACAAAATTCACATCAAAAAAACAACACAAACTGCACAGACTACACTTTCTATAAAAACTACCCATCAGAACAAACTACATATGATATACAGAATACACAATTTATACAAGCTACACTAACTAAACAGACTTCATATGAAAACAAACTACACAACTACACTGACTTCACATGAGAACGAACTACACTAACTACACAGTGCTTTTGTATGGAAGTTTTGTCCTGGACAGATATTTGGTGAAAGTAACCTGCTCAGCTCGATATTTGAAATCAAGGTGAAGTCCTCAAAATGGTAGTCTGCAGGTTAGCTCTAGTAAGTCTGTTCAATCCCCCATGTGAGGAGACCTGATTTCAGTCTAAGCTCCTGTGTCTGTGGTGGACTGTAGGATCTCTGTTTCATTTCAGCAGTTATATCTGTTCTACTGTAGTTTTCTTCATTTCTACCACTGAAGGCTGAAGGCAGTTAAACTGAGGGGGCCTGTCCTGTGTCCTGGTCTAAAACCTACGGACAGTCTCGTCTGTGTCCGTTTTGTCAGATTCTGTCAGTGAGTGACTGAATCTCACTGAACTAAAAGGGATCAGAGTCCATGATCAAAGTCGAGCTACGGATCTGAACAGACTGTTAATCTGTGTGTATGTGTGTGTAAGGTGAGGGGGTCGGGGGAGGGGGGTTTATGGACCCATTAACACGTCAGCCATTAAAGTGCCAAGAAAGTGTCCCAGATGATACACAGTCTTACACAGTACACAGGGAGGAAAGATTCTGACTGACTGATTTACTAACTCCGATTGACTGACTGTCAATCATTTTAAACTGTTTTCACAGACGGTGTTTGTGGTTCAAATCTTTGTTTACCTGATTTAATTATGGCTAATTTCAAACTGAACATGGTGAGGCCATACTGCTCAGAGACCGGCTATTAAATGGCCTGTAAATCCATAAAGAGGGTACTGGATGGTTTGATACATCTGATAAACGTCTTCAAAGAGGTCAGACAGAATCAGATTAACACCCTTCCATATTATATAAAATATGAGGATTAAATATTGATCTTCATCAGTCTGCTGTGTCTGATAGATGTTAAAAGGTCGGGGTTTACTGTGTGCACTGTTAACTCTGCATGGTCTACATTGAAAATTTAGAGTGCGATTAGCCATTTACAGAGAATGTTTAATGTCTTTCACAAAGTTTAAGATTTAATAATTTAATTTTGTAGGAGGACCAGGAGGTTTCAGCAGTGGACCACTGCAGAGAGCAGCTGCATATCCTCACATCCTCTTCAGTCTAACCAAACTCCAGGGAAGTGTAAACCACTGAGAGAAACCAGACTTCCAGACACTGATGTCTGTCCTGTGTGTGTACTTGTCCTGCTTCAGGTTGCTCATGTGGTTTGATGAAGAACATGCTGAGTCCAGGTGTGACATGCAGAGGTAGATTATTCTGCACTTAGCAGACAATCAGGACTGCAGGACTATCAGCCTCTCCGACAGTTTTTGTTCAAACTAAAAGAAAAGCAGTTTCCATACGTGCTGTGTCCTCACTCTAACTGAGTGAGTACTGTACAGGTTTACCTGAGGAGGAGAACACCTGGAGCACCCAGAGGCAGGCCGCAGCCCTCCTGGGGTGAGAGATGTTCTTTCTGAGCAGATTCAGAGTCAGCAGCACAGCTCCAGCATCCTCCGCCCTCACCCCGATACGCCGGTCTAAACAAATACACACATAATGATCAGCAACCGGATAATCACATGATACCCCACAGGAGCTCAGGTGTGTCCTCACCTCTGTGTCCAACCTTAGCCAGCAGGTGCAGCAGAGGCAGCAGGACAGCGTAGTCTGGACTGAAGCTGCGAGCCGTGTTGACCAGAGCCGAGAGCAGAGCATCACTGCCGCCTTTCTTTATCATGTAGTGGATACGCCGGTCTGTGCCTGGACAGGACATTATGGGTCAGGACAGAAAAGCTCTGGTTAATCAGTCTAACTTAGACTCCTTACAGAGAGACTTTACAGCTTACCTGCTGACAGGAGCTCATCCAGCACATTCAGGATATTCAAGGTGCTCTCCACATCACCTGCATCCTGACAAAAGACACAAACCAGAAGAATGCAGTCTATGAGACATGTGAAAAGGTCGTCTTTTAAACTTAAACTCAGCATTAAAGTGCAGAAATATCATCTGTGATCTGTGACTGAATGACAAATTCACAGTAAAAACTAGCCCAGACACATTTGGGAAAAAATACTTCAAATTAAGACAACACTACAAATCAGGAGGAGCAAGGGACCAGGTGGGTGATGGCAAAGACCAAACCTGAGCTTTCTGCCTAAACAACACTAAACTCTAAACCACGAACACTTAATCATTCACCCTGAACCCTAAACTTCAAATACTAAACCCTTAAACCCTTATTCCTGGACCCCAAACACTAGATCATTAACCCCTCATTAAAAACAAACTTTATTGAAGCATGGGTCAGTTTGCTCTGCAGCTCAGGCTGAGGTTGTGAATTGGACCACCTCTGTTTGACTCATTGCCTCACTTCTCTCCTTCACACCTGTCTCAGTAGGTAAATGAACTGTTGTTGGAGCTTTTAGCAGTCAGACTGCAGGGTGCTACAGACAGAACTGACTATTCCCAGACAAGACCACAACTCAACTTTGACCTGTGACCCTTGTCTCACTGCAAAACTCAAATATAAGCATTTGTTTTTGTTTTATCTTAAGTTTTAAAAAATCGTATTCGTCTTATATAAGTCCAAATATATCTTTGCATTCTTCTGACAGACAGGTGGTTAGAGCAGCATGTTACAGGCTCTGGAATAGTCAAGCTCTCTCTTAAAAAGCTCATGTTTATTAAGCTCCAGAGGTCCCTTTGATTATCTGACTCTGTTTGTTTGTGAAGCATTTCTCTTATTTCAGAGCGTCAGGTCTAAAGTCAGTCCTGGACTCCTCAGCGGACCCTGCTGCTGTTTTCAATCAGAGTCTTTGAATCTCAGAGGAGATACTAGGAGGTCTGTTTACACGGTTACTGCATTCTGTTGGTCACAGTGACCAGAAACACACACTAACCGCGGTCAGTCAAAACGTCATGACCCGTCCAGGACTAGCAGACCACCTGCAGCAGTTTTCAGATCTGGATGCGTTGAGATCTGACTCTGCGGTTTCCTTAAAGCTTCTTTCAGCACCACTAACTTCTGACGAGGGCTCATAGAATATGTACTGTACTATTATTATTTCTGAATCAGCCTCCATCTAGAGCTCCAGTGTCAACTACAGAGCAGATTAGTAGAACCTGATATACAAACCACGCAGCCTGGAAAAGGTTTTAAACTCATTTGATACAGGTTTGATCCAGCACAATCCAAGAGCAGGATCCCCGGGCAAGATCTTGGATCAAGTCTGCAGACTCACAGAGATGAAAAGATGTATGTGCAAAGGCAAAGCTTGATCTAAATCTGGAAATAACGTTTTAATCATAATACAAATATGTGGATTTAAAGGAAAATCTTCATCCTCTGCTGTTCTGTTTGATGTAAATCAGGGAAGCAGCTCCACGGGATGTGCATTTTTCCCTGTCTTTGTATGGCATCAGTATGATAAAATGATTTAATGTGCATGCTGTAAATCACTTGATTTCCCTCCTATGTCGCACCCTCTGTTTGTGTTGATATCTGTGTGTAACCGTAGACATGTGGGTTTACTGCCTCACAGTCCAGGTCCACGTTAAAGACATTCTGGTGTTAATGTCAGGCCCTGCCATGACCTTGGCAAGCATTAGTGCTGAGTTTAGTTCCAGCAAAAAGGATTTAATATCAGGTCCTGGTCTGCTAGTTTGACATTCACACATGGCAACACTCATAACAACCTGCAGTAAAGAATAATATCATCCGTTCCAGCAAAGTGTATGGGACGGATGGTTTGCAAAGAAAGTGATCAATTAATCTTCTTCTTCTTCTGCTCACTTGACACAGAAACACGTTTGTCACAAGTTGGTCTGTCCTGTAGACAATCGCACATTTTTTAGGACAGTGTGCGAAATTACATGAAACTTACATCTGTACTGCTGCGGTCCTGCCTGCTGCTACTGCTGCTCCGCCATGGTGCGCGCTGCCGTGGCCAGCCGGCGTTCGCGACGCATCTAAATAGGCAGCAGCTGGTGGCGCTAGCGTCACATGCACTTCTACAACTTTTAAGAGGACGAAGAAGAAGCCCGCGGTGCATTTTGGGTCAGTAGCATGCCCGTAGGATGCACCGAGACCAACCTACAATGTGGGCGTGTCTAGTATCTGAAGTAGTATCTGAAGTAGCGTGCTACTCGCTCCGGTGGCCAATTCGGACATGCTAGATACTACTTCGACTACTACTTCGACTACTACTTGGCAATTCGGACGCAGCTAGTATCCCCCGGGAGAGCTATGCAATCCCTTAACGCCCATAGGCTGTATCAGGTGTTAATCATAGCAAACATGAACCCCCTAATAACTTTTAAAAACGGAGCTTCACAGAGAAAAGAGGACTTGAGCACAAACCAGTCTTACAATAACTACATGTCAACATCACAAGCAAATAAATTTCTAAAGTTTGTCCACAGCTCTATAAGCATTGCTGTCGGAGGCGGGATTTATGACCTGTACTGCAGCCCATCAACAGAGGGTGCTGTTCTCGGAGTGGCTTCACCCAGCGAGGAGGCAGACTCTGTCCATTCTATATACAGTCTATGATTTAGACAGACTGATGAAGATTGTATTTTGTGTCAAACTACTCTGCTTTGATAAATAAACACAAAAAATCCGCACTGGGGCTGGACTGATATTGAGTCATCAGAACCAGTACAGATACCAGTACTGATTATCAGCATTTTATGGAAATAGTAACAAATATTTAAAACGAATATGCATTTACAGTAAAAATGAAAAACCTTTTGTCAACATTTAACCTTTATTTAATCACAAAGTGCAACCGTAAAAAACCTTAAAAACGTATTTTTAATCATCAATGAACCTCTCAGCATCAAACACAGGCGTTAACCAGGTGCACCCACGACACAGTTATCGTACAGGGTCATGAAAAACAGACCCAAAGATAGGACCATCGCAGCAGTAAAACACAGATACAGAGAATCAGCTAAATGCTGGATATCAGACCTAATACTAGATCCAGTCGGCTCCTTAACCTGTGTTAGACAATCTGACAGATTACCCAGAAAACAACTTAAATAATTCTTTATCCTGAGGAGGATACAGATGTTTATATTTACATTAGGTCTGTTAGCATTACCGTGTTAACGCCTGTGATCAGTGTGGAAGTCTTAACATGTTAAATGATAATTACGCAATTTAGTCCTATGACTAAGTTTGACCACAACTTCCTCCTGTGGTCCTCTACAAATGCAGCCAGCAATGATGAGTGAGGAGAAAGACCCAGGTTTGCTTTAAGGCTAATGGAAGTCTGGATACAACCAAAGTTGAGAATACTTATTGCTGTGATTGTCTTTCCATCAAAGCAGGGCAAGTCTGAAGTACCACTTTAGGGCAAAGCATATCTTTGCTAACATAAGCAAAGACATTAACAACATAGGATCAAGCCGTGGTCATCAAGCTACACTGGCAGAGGGCAGCAGACTTGGGCTTGTCAACAAAAAGAATGTAATTGACTGAATAAGTTGCCAGAGACCGCAGACCCATCAAGATTCTGACTTCAAGATCTCATACAGATAGCCACAGGTGACCTGTTATACTGAACACCTTCAAGGGGAACTATTGTCAGCAAATAAAGACATTGTATTTTACAAACCAACACAAGCTGAGTTGTTCAGTAAAGTTTAAAAACTCTGGTTTGTTAAATATTTTTTCATTCAAACATTATACCTGTACTTCTTTTATCTCAAAACAAAATTCAAGTCAGTTGCACTATTTTTTCAGATAGATAGATAGATAGATAGATAGATAGATAGATAGATAGATAGATAGATAGATAGATAGATAGATAGATAGATAGATAGATAGATAGATAGATAAATGTGGTTACACCTCAGTTTTATGCAGACAAACTCTTTTACGTGCTTCATCATCTGCACCATTAATAACCTCAGTCAGTCAGAAAACACAGACACGCTAAATGAAAATACCCTAACCCTAACCCTAAATTATGGCTCACATGTTTTACAGTCATTTCTCAGTTTAACCAAAGTCTGCAGAGCAGCTTATGTCTTATCATCACAGAATTTGGTTCATACAGACATCCTCGTCCTTTTAAACACTCAACATTAAACTGAAGAAGACTCTAATGCTGAGGAATAATGTGTCAGACTTTTTACCTTTTGGCTGAGATCTACAGCACATTAACACTGACTGACTGAGCAGTTAAATCAAAGGTGAAAACCTGCCGAACAACCACAAAGCCAAGACCTCACCCTCTCCTTAACCGCGAGACTGCCGAGACATTATTTCACTGATTTATCTCTCTCTTACAGACAGAATCCAAACCAAGGAAAATGAGAAAGACCACAGTAAAGCTTCTGTTATTCAGAGTAATCTCAAATGTCAGGTTGATACTAGACTGTTTGAGAGGAAATCTACAATCTCAGAGAAAAAGCCGAACCAGAGCTTCAATGAATTAGGATTGAGGTTGAAACCTGAACATCTGAAACAAAGGTGTTTTTTTACTTTTTTTTAAACAGTCAGAGAGAGAAAGACTGTCTCTCTGGTTTAAAGGTCCTTCTTTAGTCCTCAAATTCCTCAGGTTTACACTGGAAAGAGCATATTTTAAACTCTCTGAGGAGGATAAAGACGTTTGACTCTGACTATATTTTAACCTTTCTGATGGTGCGAATGTTATAGGTCATGATCAGCAACTTTGAGATGTGAAATGTCAGGGAGGATCAACGGATCTCAAAATCTTCTGAGGATAGATAGCTAAATCTGGTCCTCGTCTCCTAATGCTCACACACACTCATATGACCATCTCAGTGCTTCATCACACACACAGTAATGTAGTTAACATGGAGGTTTAAAGACGGTCAGGACACCTGAACTCTTTAGCAGTCCAAACAGAAAAAAGAAAAGACACTCATTGAAGGTAAAAGAAAAAAAAGGTGCGTGAAAATAAACAGTAAATAAGAGTGACCAACACAGCCAATCAGAGCACTGCGTGTCCCTACCTGCAGCGTGGACAGCAGGACTTCCAGACCGCTGGACGAGCTCAAGGGGGCCGTCATCCTGGGTCTACCTCGCTCTGCAGCCAATCAGTCAGCCAGACACCGAGTCAGTCAGTAAGAGGAACAGGCGGACAGAAAGGTAAACAGAGAGTTAAACAGACGGACAGGTAGAGAGAGGACAGGAGCTGCAGGACGGACAGAGAGCGCCGATCAGCTGGAGACGGACTGAGAGGATCCACAGCATGTCCCCCCTACAGTGAACACAGCGTCACACAGACAGCATACTTAAAGCATCTGTCACTCTGTAACACACACACACACATACAAACACACACACACACACACACGCACTCGGTGCGTCAGTGTCTAAGCAGAGAGAGACACAGAGACTTAACTTGACAGGGAATACCCCCAAGGGCCAGGCAGAGTGTATGTATGTATGTGTGTGTGTGTGTGTGTGTGTGTGTGTGTGTTCAGTATGTACAGTATGTCAGTGTTTGGCTCTCTGACTCTTCATATACTGTCCCATTCATTGTTGCAAAGATGGCTCCAGTTTGCTGCTGTTTGTTTGTAGTTCTGAGGGTTTTGTCGCAGACCCTAATTAGACTTTCACACACACATATACACAGTGTGTGTGATGTATGTCTCGTGCATTCTCTCCCGCATGCATGTGCACGAGTAACTCTACCCCTGCAGGATAAAGCGCTCTAGAAAGCATGTGTGCGGCAGTGTTGAGAAGGCTGCCACTATAAAAAGGCCCTGACAAGGCCGGCTGGGCAGCTGCAGGACTTCAGCTAAAACCAGGGGACCACTGCAGCCAACCCCCCTGAGAGCTGGACAACAGCTATTCACCTCAGAGTAAGAAATCACTGACACCCCAAGAGACAGGGGGTCCTGCACAACACAGGGACCACAAAAACCAGCCGGCAAAAACAGAAATTAACAACAAACCATCTACAACCACAGCCCAGTAACCAGACAAAACAACCAAACAGCAACCAACCAGCCATCCTCCCCTATGTGAATGTGGTTACAGTGCTGTAAAACCAGTCAGTAACTGACTTTAACCAGACTCAGAGAAGAGGTGCATGGATGGACAATAGAGGCATCACAAGCTCCCATACTCAGTCTGAACTTTGCACACTGCTGCTGTTAAATACGGCTCTTGATATTACTGAGGAGTTTCCATGCAGCACTTAAACGGGTGTTTCCACTGACTTAGTTTACTGTTTGTTATGCAGTCTTGCATGGTTGTTAATGTCTTTTTCATTTGTGTGTTTTTGCTCCTCATGTGGGGGTAATTTTCTCCAGGGGCTGTAAAGGTTAAAAAAAAACAAAAAACATGAAGTCAACACAGAAGTTGAAAAAACTGCAGTTCTTCTCATGTCCACTAGAGACTATCTCTTACAGTGAGTCGGTCCCTGTAGAACTCAATGTTGAGACCTTTACAGTAGGAATAAATATGATAATGGCAAAATCACTTTGGGTCTCTAAAGATCATTTACTCTTTATTACAACTTGACAGACTGAATTTCAAGAATTTGGGATTTAACTCATCTGTTTACATCAGGTTAAGGATTATACTCACCTGTTTATATCAGATTATGGATTGAACTCAAACTTTACATCAGAATAAGGCTTAACTCACATGTTTTACATCCAATTAGGGATTACATTTATCTGTAAACATCAGATTAAGGATTAAACTCACATGTTACATAAAATTAAGAATTGACCTCACCTGTTTACATAAAATGAAGGAGTAAACTCACCTGTTTACATGATCAGATTAAGGAAAAGACTGGTCTGTTAATATTAAATAAAGGATATCATTTTCCTGTTTACATTAGATTTAGGGTTAAACTCATTTTTTGGCATAAAATAAGAGAAGAGACTTTACTGTTTACATTATATTAAGGATTAGACCCACCTGTTTACATCAGGTTGGGGGTTAAGGGGTCCATTATTCAATGGCACTGTTTGCTATTAACAGTAAGAAATATGGAGAGGATGTCCATTAGTGTTTATATGGTGTGCGGTTGTTTCTGAGATAAGGTTGATCAATTTTCCTGTTTGATCTCTGTCTCATAAGAGTCCTCCTGTCTCCCTAAAAGTTCTGTCGAATCTGAGGCCTTCTATTGAACCTCAGTGTTCACTGACCTCAACTCAACTCAACTCAACTCAACTTTATTTGTAGAGCACTTTAAAACAACCACAGCTGTACAAAGTGCTGTACATAACAGGACAAAAACAACAAGATAAAAAACAATCAAGAAACAATTAAAACAATGGATAAAATAAAAGCAGAATTAAAAATAAAATATAGCTTCAATGTTTTTAAAAACTAATTTAAAAACATAGAAACAAATAACTAAAAACAAACCATAGAACACTAAAACAGGAGCCGAGTCTCATGCAGGGTTAAAAGCCAATGAATAAAAATGGGTTTTAAGACGAGTTTTAAAAATGGACAGTGTGGGGGCTTCTCTAATATGGAGGGGTAGCTCGTTCCATAAAATTGGGGCAGCAACAGAAAAAGTCAGTTTCCACCTATTTTGTACTTTTGTCCCCCAACTTCATGATACAGTGGTTATAAATTATCTTTCAATAACTAACTCTTAAAAAAAACATTAAAAAATGTGAAAGAAAATAAAGACATTTCCCTCAGAGGTACTTCGCTCAGAAAAGTTTTAAAAGTTACCGACAAACTTAAAAGGTTGAACTGTAAGACTATAAACTGTAAACCATGAGAATATTTGATAGAGATCAGCATCAAAGGCTGGTTGTGTTGTGTGTATACCTGATGTGAGTGTGTGTGTCTTTATTTGTGATCTATGTTGGGTTTTCTCATTAGAGGTGATGACAAGGAGGTGTCCATCACACTGTCTAATGAGGGACAGGCGAGTATTAAACAGATCACCTCCTCCTTTAAATGTGCTAAACTCAGACTCAGGCATCAAGTTCAAGAGCACGTGAACTCCTCAACCCCGTCTTCACCTCCTCCTGTTCCTCCTGTCCCCTCCCACTTACCCTTGACTGCTTGCACCTTCTAAAACATAAAACACTACATCCTGACAACTGCAGCATCGATTTGACGACATGATCCACCAACAAGGGTTTCCTCAAGGTGTGAGTGTACAGGAGTAAACAGGGAAATTTACAGGTCACAGCGCCAAAATATATTTGAAAATTTCCAGTGCACATCTGAAAAAGCAGGAGAAACACACCTGGTTAACAATAAGCTTTCTACAGATACTGCTCCTGCAAAAACAACTGCATTCATTAAACTTTCAGAAGAAGCAGGAATGTTGTGTGTGTGTGTGTGTGAGTGTGTGCGTGCGTGCGTGCGTGCGTGCGTGCGTGCGTGCGTGCGTGCGTGCGTGCGTGCGTGCGGGTGTGTGTGTGAATGTAAATCACTCCTGTCAACAGTGAGTCCGAACCTCCACTGTTTCCAGCTGACGGCCAGGTGTGAGTGTGTGTGTGAGTGTGAGTGTGTGTGTGTGTGTGTGTGTGTGCGTGTGTGACAGAGAGAGCATGAGAGAGAGAGTAACAGAGACAGACTGAGTCAAGCTAAAGGTCATACTCATTATACCCGTCCTTAACTGTTAAAAGGCCCTTCAACTTAATGACTGTTTCAAGGCCCGTATCCTTACTGACTGTTTTAAAGTCTGTCTCTTTAATAACTATTTTAAAGTCTGTCTCTTTCATAACTATTTTAAAGCCTGTATTGACTGTTTTAAAGTCTGTCTCTTTAATAACTATCTAAAGGTCTGTATCCTTACTGACTGTTTTAAAGTCTGTCTCTTTAATAACTATTTTAAAGTCTGTCTCTTTCATAACTATTTTAAAGCCTGTATTGACTGTTTTAAAGTCTGTCTCTTTAATAACTATTTAAAGGTCCGTATCCTTACTGCCTGTTTTAAAGTCTGTCTCTTTAATAACTATTTAAAGGTCTGTATACTTACTGACTGTTTTAAAGTCTGTCTCTTTAATAATTATTTTAAAGACTGTCCTTTTGATGACTGTTTTAAAGTCTGTCTCCTTACTAAGTTTGTTAAAGCTTGTCTTTTTACTGACTGCTTGAAAGTGTGCCTCTTTATGACTGTTTTAAAGCCCATCACCACAATGACTCTTTCAAGGCCTGTCTCTTCACTGACACTTTTTGTCTCATCACTGACTGTTATAAGGCCCATCCCCTTACTGGCTGTTTTCAAGTCTGTCTCCTTAATAAGCTTTTAACGCCCATCTCCTTAAGATAAAATACTCTATTATTAGTCCCACAAAGGGAAATTCCCGAACTGACTGTTTCAACACCTGTCTCCTTACTGCCTGTTTTAAAGCCTGTCTCCTTACTAAGTGTGTTAAAGCATGTCTCCTTACCGACTATTTTAAAGTCTGTCTCTTTAGTGACTGTTTTAAAGCCCATCTTCTCACCGACTCTTTCAAGGTCTGTCTCTTCACTAACATTTTTTCAAAGACTGTCTCTATACTGACTGTTTTAAGGTCCATTTCCTTGATGACTGTTTTGAGGCTTGTCTCCTTACTGACTGACCACACTCACCATGGAAGGTCCCTAAGTGCTTCTTGTTTACCTGAGGACAAATGAAACTGCAGTTGAGTGCTCTATAAGCTGGGATTTGTCAGTTCATTGTATCACCCCTTCTGTGTGTTATTTCCCCGACTTATTTTTGGCCCTTATTTTACCTTTTTGCCACTGTCTCAGTTTCTTCAGTGTCTTTGATTTTGACGTACTGATCACGTCGTTCATCCTCGTATGCCTCAAGATCCATTACCCTCCTTTCCAGGTGAGCAATTTGTTTGTCCTTCTCGGCATTTTTGGTGCGAAGAGCCTTCACCTCCTGCACAAGATCCTGGCTAGGCCTGGAAGCTAACTGCTGCTGCCTGGTGGTAGTAGCTCCTCCTGGCTAGGCCTGGTAGGTAGCTGCTGCTGCCAGCTGGCCTTCCGGGCTTGCCTGGTGGCTAGCTGCTGCTGCCTGGTGGTGGATGCTCCCAGGCTGGCCTGGTAGCTAGCTGCTGCCTGGTGGTGGATGCTCCTCCTGGCTAGCCTGGTAGCTAGCTGCTGCTGCCTGGTGGTGGTAGTAGCTCCTCCTGGCTAGGCTTGGTAGCTAGCTACCTTTTACAACCTGTGCAATTCAAGTCAGCAAACGACACCCAGAGCTGACTAGCTGCTGCCTGGTGGTGTTAGCTCCTCCTGGCTAGGCCTGGAAGCTAACTGCTGCTGCCTGGTGGTAGTAGCTCCTCCTGGCTAGGCCTGGTAGGTAGCTGCTGCTGCCAGCTGGCCTTCCGGGCTTGCCTGGTGGCTAGCTGCTGCTGCCTGGTGGTGGATGCTCCCAGGCTGGCCTGGTAGCTAGCTGCTGCCTGGTGGTGTTAGCTCCTCCTGGCTAGCCTGGTAGCTAGCTGCTGCTGCCTGGTGGTGGTAGTAGCTCCTCCTGGCTAGGCTTGGTAGCTAGCTACCTTTTACAACCTGTGCAATTCAAGTCAGCAAACGACACCCAGAGCTGACTTTCTGGTTCAAATCAAGGATATTGTTTGATTTTACTTTATGCCATTCAACAATGAAATTCAACAAACAATAGTCCAAGGATTCAGTGGATATTAAGTGGATAGAGAGCAGGAATTCTTACAGAGAAAACACACCAGCGGCCATCTTGGATCCCCTTGGACTAGAAGTCTACACATGGGTCCTCTTTCTGGTTTTAATGCACTCATGACAATGTTCAGATCTTCAAACTTTTCACCAAAACTTCTCCAAAATTCCCAGAATGTTACACATCAACTGTGAAAAGCAACCATGGCGACTGAATCTGAGTGTCATTTGTAAATGCTGTGCAGCAGTTGATCTCGCTGCATCATTGCAGAGAAGAAAGAAAGGAGACATTACCATCCAGAGACCAACTGTACAGCACCGAGCAGTGTTGTAGTCAAGTCTCGAGTCGATTTGCACCCTTATCCCTGCAGGAATGTGGCTTAACGAAACAGCACCTGAAGGCACATGCACTCACTGCAGCCCTCACTCAAAGCTGAAGACACCATCAGGTCCTACAGAGTCAGCCTGATTATCTGTCTGTCCGACATCGGAGATGATCATCAAAGATTCAAACTGAGACTCTGTCTGTCTCCATCAGTCTTCACCTCAACCTTTGCCATTTCACTCTGTGTGTGTGTGTGTGTGTGTGTGTGTGTGTGTGTGTGTGTGTGTGTGTGTGTGTGTGTGTGTGTGTGTGTGTGTGTGATAGAGTGAGGGAAACAGAGACAGACTGGGTCAGGCTGAAGGACACACTCATATACCCGCCCTTAATCCTAACTTTCAGTCGCTGGGCTCACAGCCGGCTTTTCAGCCAGCATGAACTTTACAGCACACTCACAATCCTCATAAGGTCACACACATACATCTTCACATCTACACACACACACACACTGTAATCCCAGCCTGGCACCGACCACACACTTTCAGACACATGAACCTCCTAAATAGTCTCTGGGAACAAACGTTAATCCACAGGTGAAATCATACACACACTTCTGTCCTGACAGGATTCCCTGGACTCTACACACACACACAAACATACATACATACACACACACTCTTCCTCTGGGCAGTAATTAGGGGGACCCAGTGTGTTGGTTCAGCTGTTTGCTGGGTTATTTCTCTGATGTGCGCAGACAGAGACATCCATCTACATCAACAACAACAGCAGCTGCAGCAGACTAGCCCTGACACACACACACATGCACGCACGCACACACACACACACACACACACACTCACAGTCTACAGTATGTCTACACACTCATCCTGTGCTCCTCTATCTCATTAAACTCCTTCAGTTGTTATAGTTCATATTCTCCTGCTGTTTTAGTCGTGTTCTTAAGTTTGTTTCCCATCCTGAGGTCCTGAGGTCCTAGGCCCCCGGGAGACACAAGGCTTTGTCTGCTCTGAGTTTGTAAAAGTTCAATTTTTCACAAATGATCATAAGTCACTGTAAAACACAGGAGAGTTTGGATAATTGAGTCTACTCAAGGAGCCACATCTTCCTTCCTAAACTTCACTGATAAACATGCAGACCTGCTGACATCTCGTCATTTATTGTATCTAACGATGTTCAGCATCATGACTTTTCCTCATCACCGATTCTGTTACTGCTCTGATACAAACATCCTATGTTTGTATCAGGTCCAAAATCTCTCAGACAAGAGCAATCCTTTTCTGGGTCAGGTAGAGCAACTTGCTCTCATTGGTGAACTACTCTGACACGCTACAGGAAAGGTCTGTGTCAGTGATCCAGTTTGGCTACCCTTTAGAGAAGACACAGTCTCATAAACATATTTGCTTTTATTTCGACAATTTTTTTGTTATTTAGATTGCTCCATTCCCAGCAATGTGAAGCATGCTCTTACTTAAAAATGGTGTTTACCTCTGGTAGACCCATGAACATCAGATCAAAAAAAAGAGTCAGAGGCCCATTGTCAGTGTCCTCTCACACACTGTCTGACAGGTGTGCTTCTGCAAGTCCGTAAGGATACAAAAATCTAATCAGATTTATTTCTCCATCTGAGGGGTTTGAGGGGCTCAAAGTTTAGGCATCAAGCTTATAGGTTTTAGGGTTCAGGGTGTAAAGTTTAGGGTTTTAGGGTTCAGGGTTTGGAGTCATAGGGTTCAGGGTGTAAGGTTTAGGGTTCAGAGTTTGACACTGTAGAGTTGGGGGTGTAGGGTTTAAGGTTTTAGGGTTCAGGGTGTAAGGTTCAGGGTTTTAGGTTTTGCGGTTTAGGGTGATGGGTTCAGGGTTTAAGGTTGTAGGATTAGGGGTGTAGGGTTTGGGGTTTTAGAGTTCAGGGTGCAGGGTTTTAGTGTGTGAGGTGAATGGTTCTATGGTTCTGTTTTATAGGTTTTAGGGTGTAGGGTTCAGGGTTTGAGGTTGTAGGATTAGGGGTGTAGGGTTCAGGGGGTCCAGGTTTAGGGCATAAGTCTAACAGTATTAGGGTTCAGGGTTATAGATTTTAGGGTTCAGAGTGCAAAGTTTTAGGGTTCAGGGTGTAGGGTTTAGAGTTCAGAGTGTAAGATTTAGGGTTTTAGCGTTCACGATTTAGGGTTTTAGCGTTCATGGTTTTGGTGTTTAGGGTGTGAGGTAAACAATTCAGGGTTTAAGGTTATTGGGTTGGGAGTGAAGGGTTTTAGGGCTCAGTGTTTGGGGTTTTTGGATGAGGATTGTAGGGTGTAGTGTTTAAGGTTTAAGGTTTTAGGGTTAAGGTTATAGGGCATGGGAATTTAGGGCTCACGGTGTAAGAATAAATGCATTTATTTAAAAGCCAAAAACTACATTGGCATAAAAGTAAGAACACCCCCCCCCCCATTTTCTCACTTTTATTATTATTATTATTATTATTATTATTATTATTATTATTATTATTATTATTATTATTATTATTATTATTATAAGTTTTATTGTTATCATCATCCTGTTCTCTTAAAGGAGTTTTTAAATTAAAAACTTAAATAAGCCCTCTTCTAATACACTGAGCTTTTTTGAACACTTACTGTCCTCTAGAGGACACCAGCAGACTGACTGTGTTTGTGTGTGTGTGTGTGTGTGTGTGTGTGTGTGTGTGTGTGTGTGTGCACCGGGACTTGCGCCCACTTTCCCCTGCTGGCTCTCTCCCTCACACACTGCTGTCATCTCTGCGTGATGTTACCCCAGTAACTTGGTGTGTTTGAGGATCAGCTATGTGGTAGTAAGCATGGAGGTCAAAGGTCAGATCACTTTCCATTCCTGAGCAGCTACAGAGGAAATCTACAGAGGTAAAGTTAGAAAGTAACGGACCTCTTCCAGTCAGACACCCTAGGTCCTCAAAGTCATTCATAGCACAGGTACACTCTGTCTGAATGTCTGAACACAGGTGTGACAGAGGAGAGAACAAAGCACAGACAGAATCCTGAAAATGTTCCAGTGTTATGACTCTTGATGCTTTGCTGTAGATACTGTGGTGAACGGTTCTGCGGGACAAAACAGAGGTGAAGAAACTGAAACAGAGTCACAGGTGTCTTCAAACCATCACTCTGTTTTAACCGTTTTCCTGTCTGATGAAACATAAGTGATATGATCAGACTTTATCTACACTAACAGCTGTTTCCTGTCTGTATCATGGTCACATAAAATCCAGGCCTCTGGAGTCAGTCTGAGGTCAGCTGTACCCACCCTGATATACCCTGATACTGTGTTCAGATGTTAAACTCTTCAGTTCTCGTCTAGAAGGAGTCGGTCTCATCTCTGAGTTAAAGCTAATGTTTCCTATAAAGGCACATTAATGTCTCTGTCACTGAAATCAGACACTGCAGCAACATTACAGAGTTAGTTCTGTTGAAGCTTGTAGCTAAAACCATCGTTTTCAAACAGATTCTTGCAAACTAATGATTTCACTTTTTGCTTTTATTGAAACTTCATTTCATTCCTGCAGAAGCTCAGGAAGTTTAAGCTGCAGCAAATACTTCAGATTGCTGCAATAGTGATCTTTACTCGGCGCTGTTTAACATCCCCGAAGTTTATGAATATAGAAAAACCGTGAGAGTACTGTCTTAATGCTATTCCAAACACTCTTTGTTTACAGGTCACAGAAACAGCTGAGCAGCATGAGCACGCTCTGATCTGTCTCTGTGTTACTATAGGAAACATCTCATATAGTGTTTAAGTGTGTGTGTGTGTATGTGTGTGTGTGTCTCACAGGTGAAGTGGAAAAGAGCTAAAACAGGATCAGCGCTTTGACTTCTCAGAGGTCTCCTTATAGCAGTCTAACATTATACAGCAGTTGAGAACCCCCCCCCCCCCACACACACACACACACACACACACACACACACACAGACACACACACAGACAGATGCACACACATGTTGTACTGTAACATACGCTGCACACACATGTGCACAGAAAGCCCTCACAATAACAGTCTGAGGTGTTTAAAGAAATCACCTCAGCTCAGAGTCACATGTTGATATGAAGAGTAGAGAATATATGACTCAACGTTAAATATTAGACTGATGACACACACACACACACACACACACACACACACACACACATCTGATAAAAAGCTGGTAAGAGAGCGAAGAGAAAGGCTGCTTTGTGACTGCAGTTGTCTGTAGATTCACAAATGAATCAAAACCCTTAAAGCTGCGAGCAATGACAGTCAGACTGAGCTCTGCTGGGTCTCACCTGCAGTCTGGATCATAGAGAGGACAATAGTTAAACCACTGAGAGAACAAATGAGCAGGCACATCACTTCATTTAAAGTCTCCGCCTTAAAAAAGATCTATGAATTCCATGTGGGACATTTTGGGGTGGTGCAGTGGAACTGTGGGCAGGGCTGTACCCTCACCTGGGCACCCTGTGATAGTCTCTCCTTATACTGTAATGGTTTCATCCATGAACATTGTTTTATCTTCAGTTTGTACACAAACATATAAAGAAATAAAAGTGAATTTTGAATCTTATTGTCAGGTATTTTACCAGAGACAGAAGAAAGATTAGTGATGGGAAGAACAGTTCTTTTGACTGTACTGAATCTGAATACTGAAGCCCCTCCCCTCCCCTGCTGCGTCCTTCACTGGTTGACACATGTCATTCATTTGCCAAGTCTTGAAGGAAGAATCATGTGTGTGTCGCC